CGTTCCCCGGGTGAGCTGAGATGGGTGTGGAGTGGAGGTGGGTGGAGACTGAGAATGGTGGAGGTGTAAAGGTGGGGGTGAATGGTGGAGGTTTTGTAAAAATGGGAAACGGTGGAGGTGTTAGGGTGGGGGTGAAGGTGGAGGTGTGGTGAGCTCTCAACAATCCAGCGTGGCAAAGAACGATATGATTGGGTTGGGCTTGGTTGGGTTGGAACGAGTGTGATTTATTATATACCAACCAACCAGACCTGGCATGTCTCTCGCCGTTCTATTTCCCCCGCAACCGCCTCCCCCTCCCTCCCACCAGGGTCTGGGCTCGCCTGTGTTTGACAAGCTGGAAGCAGAGCTGGCTTGGGTGCTCACGCCTCTCGACATTGTCCTTCCCTCCTTCCCCCCTGTCCTCTTCCCTCTTTCGTTGCTCCCTTGTCCTCTTCCTTCCCCCCTCTCCCCACCAGGGGCTGGGCTCGCCTGTGTTTGACAAGCTGGAAGCAGAGCTAGCCCGAGCGCTAATGTCTCTTCCCGCCACCAAGGGGTTCGAGATTGGGAGTGGTTTCTCAGGTATGCTTCCAAAGCAGCTTCTAGAAGTTTTTTCTCAGACATGGTTCTTGATATATATATATATATATATATATATATATATATATATATATATACATTTCTCCAAGGGTTTTAAGGCTGAACGCTTGCTTTTGATTTTTTTCCTGGTTTTTGATGTTCTGCTTTTGATATTCCTCAAAAGTTAAGCAGTGAGCCCAACTTCGCACCCACGGCTCGCTCGGCCTGTTTCCTTTCATATGGCCTCCATGCATCCGCCCACCTCTCGTACTCCCTTGCAGGTCCGCGCATGCTAGGCAGTGAGCACGGTGATGAGTTGTACGTGGCTGCAGATGGGGCCATGCCATCCGCACTCACTCCCTGTTCAAAAATCCACCATTATCCAACCCCTCGCTCTTCACCCACCACCCCCTTACAGGCACGCGCATGCTAGGCAGTGAGCGCAATGGCGAGTTCTACGTGGCTCCTGATGGGGCCATCCGCACGCGCACCACTCGCTCGGGGGGCATTCAAGGAGGCATTCTGCACCCTTCACCATGACGAACCTTCTTCTCTCCCTGCGTCCGCTCCCTCCCACCCCGGACACGCGCATGCTAGGCAGTGAGCACAATGACGAGTCCTACGTGGCTCCAGACGCGACCATCCCCACTCATTCCCTGTTCCATGAACCACCATCTTTTGCTCCCCCCCCCTCCCTCCCCCGCCAACACCCGATGCAGGCACGCGCATGCCAGGCAGTGAGCACAACGACGAGTTCTACGTTGCTCCAGACGGTGCCATTCGCACACGCACCAACCGCGCGGGGGGGATTCGGCACCTTCTTCTCTTCTCTCCCTGCCTCCCCTCCCTTCCACCCCAGGCACGCGCATGTTGGGCAGCGAGCACAGCGACGAGTTTTATGTTGCCCCAGATGGGGCTATCCGCACTCGCACCAACCGCTCAGCTCACTTCTGACATACGGCCCTCATTCACCCATCCCATCCATCTCTCATTCTCTCTTCTGCAGGCACGCGCATGCTGGGAAGCGAGCACAACGATGATTTCTACATTGCCCCAGATGGGGCTATCCGCACTCGCACCAACCGCTCAGCTGCTTCCTGTGATATCGCCTGTTTCCCCCTCTCCCTCCCCTTCCTGCAGGCACGCGCATGTTGGGAAGCGAGCACAATGACGAGTTTTATGTTGCCCCCGATGGTGCGATTCGCACTCGCACCAACCGCTCGGGGGGCATTCAGGGAGGCATCTCCAATGGGGAGAACATTGTGGTGCGCGTGGCGTTCAAGCCTACTTCCACCATCACGGTGAGTGTGGATTGAATCGCAGTCAGTGCCAGGCTGGTACAACAGAGTAGGCGTCCAAACGGGGAGAACATAGTCGTGCGCGTGGCGCTCAAACGGGGAGAACATCGTCGTGCGCGTCCACCATCACGGTGAGTGTGGATTGGAGCACGCTCTCTTGACTCATACAGACTGGTTCAAGCACCAGCTGAGCATTCAGGGACATTAAGGGAGGCATCTCGAACAGTGACTTGTGACGGCGTGGTGGAGACTCACTATGCTCACTCACCCCCAAAGTGTAAGGCTTCTTGATCAATCTCTGTTCATCTTTTCCCCCTTTTCCCCTTCTTTGCAACCCAACAGAGGAGTCAGCGCACGGTGACTCGGGAGGGTGTTGAGACACGGGACTGGACTGAAACACCCCAACTCTGTTTAGGTTGATTTTGAGAATTCTCGAAATTAACCTCAACAAAAACATAATCCACTTCACTTTTCATCAAGGCCCCTGGACTGGACTGATACACCCCAATCCCTCCCTTCCCCACTCCGCCCCCCTCGCCCTGACCCCCTCTACTCTCCCCTCCCTCTCTCTGCACCTCAACAGAGGAGTCAGCGCACGGTGATTCAAGAGGGTGTGGAGACAGAGCTTAAGGCATGTGGTGTTCACTGTGCTAAACGATAAGACATAAAATAAGGCTTCTTAACTCATCAACTCCCCCCACCCTTCCCCCTTCCGCTCCCTCACCCTGCACGCCAACAGAGGAGTCAGCGCACGGTGACTCGCGAGGGCGTGGAGACAGAGCTCAAGGCACGTGGGATTCGCTTCCCTTTGCTGAACATGAAGGAATAACATGAAGCTTCTTACCTCATCAACTCCCTCCTCGCCGCTCCTTTCTTTCCCTGCATCCCATCAGAGGAGTCAGCGCACCGTGACCAGGGAGGGCGTGGAGACAGAGCTCAAGGCGCGTGGCCGGCACGACCCCTGTGTGGTCCCCAGAGGTGGGTTGCGGTGCCCAGAGGTGGGATGCGGTGCCCAGAGGTCGGTTGTGGTGCCCAGAGGTGGGTTGCGGTGTCCAAAGGTGGGTCGCCGTGTTCATAGGTGGGTGGCGGAGGCAATTTTTCTGGGCCTAGAAGTGGGTGTTTTCTGGGAAAACATTAGCTTGTCAAGGTTGAAATTATGTGGCTGTTAAAGCCGTATGGATGAAAAGCGATGGTTGCGCTCGTGTGGCTCAGTGCGACCTGCTACCTGCTGATGCTCTCAGTGTTTTTTGAGAATTCTCAAAAACCACTGGTTGCGCTCGTGTGGCTCAGTGCGACCTGCTGTATGCCTGCTGATGCTCTCAACGCATCTCCTCCCCTCCTTCCTTTCAGCTGTTTCCATGGTGGAGGCCATGGTGGCGCTAGTTCTGGCGGATCAGCTGCTGCAGCACGTGGCTCAGTGCGACCTGCTACCGGCTCCCCTCCTATGCATTCCCCTATTCTCTTATTCTTACTCCTCACATCTGCAGCTGTCCCAATGGTGGAAGCAATGGTGGCCCTAGTTCTCGCGGATCAGCTGCTGCAGCACGTGGCTCAGTGCGACCTCCTCACCTCCCAAGTGTTTTTTCCCTTGCGCTCGTGTTCTGTTCTCCCCCACTCACCTCTCTCCAGCTGTCCCAATGGTGGAAGCGATGGTTGCCTTAGTTCTCGTGGATCAGCTGCTGCAGCACGTGGCTCAGTGCGACCTGCTGCCTGCTGAAGCCCTCGCCCCTGCTGCTGGTGCTGCTGGTGTTACGGGCGGTAACCAGCGGGAAGCTACAGTGATGGAGCAGTCTGCTATGTATAGCGAGCAATGAAGGATGCACGGGGTGTGGTGTGCTGTGGTTCTAAACTTCTAGATGGAGGGATGCATAAATGAAATTACACACCGTTTTTCAGAAATGGCATCCTTGCAAAAGCTGGAAATAGGTGTACGCTTCGCAGTGGCCACGGATTTGTGATAGTTGAGGCAAAGTGCTTCCAGATGCTTTTAGGCATTAGGAAGGAAATGCCTATTTCTTTACTTTCACGTTTTTAGATGAGAGATTTAACTGCTCAAAAAGAGTCTAATGCACGCTTTTGTAGGCTTATCGATTTACCAGAAATCCGAAACCAGGCCCTTTCCAGGGGCGTGAACCTGTGAATGAACGAGAAAGAAATTCTGACACGAGTTCGACACAAGAAGCGACCCTGATCAGCAAGGATCGACTCCCGGAGTGGATGTTGTCGCTCAACGGTAACATTGGCGAACGCAGCTTTCGTGTTCAGCTGGTTCACAGTTCATTATGTGCGGTTATTCGTCATGTGTCACGGTGCAAAGCGGTGAAGATTGAGAACCGTTGTGCGCCGCCTGATATCGCAAGGATGAACTGTACAAGAGCTGTAAATGTACGTGCTGGACCCGCCCTGTACTTCCAGGCTCCGGAATCTGGAGTTATCAGGGCCCCGTTCTGTTGCCGCATTGGCTTTGAGGCCTCCGACGCATAGCACCAGCTGATGCTTCGTGGAGGCCTCTGTGTTAGAACAGGGAGGCTTCAAAAACAGGGGCGTATTCCTTAAAACAGGCTCGGGACCTTGAACTCCATCCCGAACCTAACCAGTGCTGTGCTGTGCGGAGAAGACAAATGCGGCAACAAAACGCTGAACCGGTAATGCGGTCTGAATCTACATCGAAATTTCCTTGAACGGGTAAACCTGATGCGCCGCACTGCTATGCGAATCCCCACGACGAGGGGGGTTTCAGGCTGAGCACGTCCGCACCCGGGCAGGCATAAATGACCGGGCAGGCAATAACCCGTATTTCGCCAATCTTTCTACTCGAATATTCCACGGTCTGTTGCCCAAAAATAAAATGTTAACGGCCCTAGAGGTTCGCCGCTGATGTGAGGTAGGATCCACGTGGCTTCAATCGACATGATGCTACCTTGAAGGTTCATTCCGCACCCGCTGTGCTGTGCTGTGCGGTTCTCGGCCAAAAGGCCAATGCGGCAACAGAACAGCGCCCAGGCGATTTACATCCAGAAACCATCAGGCGAAACGAATTTTCATCACAGAAGTGTTATTCGGCAAGTAAAATCTATCAGCCATATGGGTTAGTTGGAACTTTAGAATCGTCTCAGCCTTTCCTCGACCGACGATTGGTCGGCCGAGATGACATTCGCCGCGTTTTGCGGCGCGTTTCTGATTGGCTTCGGACCGGCCATTGCCGTGATCGCCGTTACCGTGTCGCGACAGGCGTTCCTCTCGCTCGTTACTCTCACCAGGTGCTTACAGTCGCTCTCGTTCAACAATCGCTCGTTACTCTCACCAGGTGTTTACAGTCACGGCAAGTCACATGTTTTTAGCATCATATAGCATTTAATGAATTGCCGGATTGTGGCCACTAACCAGCAGGGTGTCGTCTCCCCTTCTTTTTCTGGTCTCGTTCCTCGAAGCAGCTCGAAACGGCTCGTTTTCTACTCCCCATTTTGTCTCACCTCATCCTCCCGTCTTCGAATCCACCCCCCATCCCTCCACACCACACTTTGCGCTTTCCCCCCCCTCCCCTTTCCCTCGCCTCTCCCTACCTTTCTTCCCTCCATTAACCCCACTCCTTTCTCCGAGCGTATCCTCCCTTTTCTCCATCCCCTCCCCCTCCTAACCTCCTCCCCTTCCTCCCCAACCAACAGCACCTTCTATTGGCTCCTCACTCTCCTCGCAATCGCCTTTCTCTGGCGTCCCTTCAGCCCTCGCTGCTCTCTCCGACTTCTTCCTCCTTTCTTCTCCTTTCCCTCCCCGTGACCCCCTCCTTTTCCCCCCTCCCTCTTCTCCTCGCCTTCCCTCCCCTCGTCCAACCAACAGCACCTTCTATTGGCTCCTCACTCTCCTCGCAATCGCCTTTCTCTGGCGTCCCTTCATCGCCCTCACTGCTCTCTCTGAGTATTCCCTCCACTCTTCCATTTCCCTCCCCATTCTTCCCTCCCCCCCACCAACAGCACCTTCTATTGGCTCATCACCCTCCTCGCAATCGCCTTCTTTTGGCGTCCCTTCATCGCCCTCACATCTCTCTCCGATTTCTTCCTCCTCCTCCTCATCCTTTCTGCTGTTGCTGCCCAAGAGGTCTCACGACAGCTGCTCTGTCAAATACTCTTGTAGGTATATTGGTGTAAGCACCCGCACTTCCCACTTCTTTTTCCTCCTACTCCTTATCCTCTCTGCTGTTGCTGGTCAAGAGGTCTCCCGCCAGCTGCTCTGCCAAATACTCTTGTAAGCCCGCGCCTCCCTTAAGTCAATCCCCTGTTTCCCATGCTTCTGTTTCCGCTCCTTCCTCTTCCTCCTCATCCTCTCTGCCGTCGCTGCTCAAGAGCATTCTGCCGTATGCACCCTCTTCCAAGCATGCCCTTGTAGGCATCTTGCTTTGACACTCCGCTTTCCCTTCTTTGTTCCCCCATTCCTTCCTTGCTCCCTTTCACTTCCTCCCTTCTTTCCGTCCCTTTGTTTTCCCCTACCCCCAGTCGCTTAAAACGTGGTCTAAATTAAACGACATAACCACTGTGAGATACCTGTTGTGATTTGTCAATGACCCTTTCTCCTTGCCTCCTCCCTTCTTCTTCCTCCTTTTTTACCTTCCCTTTGTTCCCCCCACCCCACCCAGTCGTCTGGAGCGCGCTCTAGACGCCATAGCTGCTGCAAGACACCTGTTGTGATCCGTCAATGTCCCCTCGCTTTCCTCCTCCCTAATTCTTCCTCCCTTTGTCCCCCCCACCCCATCCAGTCGCCTAGAGCGCGGTCTGAACACCATAGCCACTGCAAGACGCCTGCCCCCGCTCTCCCCTCTCAACACCTTCCATCTTTCTCTCTGTAAGTATCAACTAAGCAAGTACACCCCACCCCCCTCTCCCCCATCTTCTACGACTACTGTTCTAGGCATGAGATCACTCACCCCCTCCTCCTCTTCCTCAGCAGTATCCCCACCTTGTCTACACTCATCCTTGCAGCAAACCACCCTCTGCCCCCCTACCCTTCCGTTATTCTACAGCTGGGCCATGGGATCGCTCAATCCTTCCCTCTTCCTCTTCCTCAGCGTCTCTTCACCCGCCATCGCACCTTAGGCCCCTGCCACCTTTTGAGGCGCCTCAAAAGTCGCACCTTAGGCTCTTGCCACCTTCCTCACACTACCCCGCCTTGCCTTTCCGCGTGTGATGAGGCGATTTTTGAGTCGACTCAAAAGCGTCTCTTCACCCGCCATCGCACCTTAGGCTCCTACCACCTTCCTCACACTACCCCGCCTTGCCTTTCCTCATCCCTGCACAACCCCCCCCTCTCCCCTCCTCCCCCCCAACCCTCCGTCCCCCAATCCTCTAAACTACAGCTACCGGTCTGGGCCATGGGATCGCCCACTCACTCTTCCTCTTCCTCAGCGTCTCCTCACCCGCCATCGGCCCAGCAACCTTCTACTCGTGGCGCTGCCCTCAACTGCCCCTTGTGCTGCTTGCAGGTACGACCTACTTAGTTAGTATTAGATGTGGGGAAGGGGGGATGTGGGGAAGGGGGTATCTCCTCACCCGCCATCGGCCCAGCGACCTTCTACTCTTGGCGCTGCCCTCAACTGCCCCTCGTGCTGCTCGCAGGTATTTTCCACTCTGTAGGTACGACCTGAATGCACAAGGGTGGGAAAAGTGGGATGTGGGGAGGGAGGAGTCTCCTCACCCGCCATCGGCCCCGCGACCTTCTACTCCTGGCGCTGCCCTCAACTGCCCCTTGTTCTCCTAGCAGGTATTTCCTTGCAGTCAGTGTATGCTCCTGACACTCTAGGTTCCCTGGAGGTTGGATCTGGGAAGAGACACTCTAGGTTCCAGTTTTGAGGCGCCTCTAAACTGGGTCGGGGAAAGGAAGCCTCCTCACGCGCCAGTGAACCTAGAGTGTCAGCGCCAGCGCCGGGCCTGCCAGCCTTCTATTCCTGGCGCTGCCCCCAGCGGCCCCTCGTGCTCCTAGCAGGTGCATGTGGTGGAGGGGAGGGTGGGGACTGGGCAGGGCACACTCTCTACTCCTGCTCCTCCTCCACACTCTTGTTCTCCCTCCCTTCTCTCCGCCTCATCCCCCCGTTTTTAGCCATAGGCTCTGCAGCGGTCTTCACGATACACACCCTGAAAATGGTGCTGGTGGTGTATACAACTTTTGAGGCACCTCAAAATTCATAGGCCCAACCCAAGCAGCATTCTTCATAATACACACCCCGGGGGTGGTGCTTGTTATTTCTCCACTCCCATTTCCTTTCTCCCTCTTCCACATCCTCCCTAAAAAGAGCTCCTTAAAGTGACGAACCATCCTCGCTTACTCTGCTTTCTGCATCCTTTTCTTTTCCAGCTATAGCCTCTGCAGCGTTCCTCATAATACACTCCCTGGGAATGGTGCTGGCTTATGACGCACACAAGGCGCAGCTTATAAAGGGGACAGAGCTCCCTCCAGGAATACAGTCGAGAGGAGCAGCAGAGGCAGTGCAAGAGAGGCAGCCTCTAAGGGGTACAGAGACAGCAGCAGGGGGCACACCAGCAGCAGATGAGGGGCAGTTAGGGCAGGTCGGGCAGGCTGGGCAGGTGTCAGAATGGCGCTTCTCCTTTCCCTCCACCCCTCAAGAGATGACGGCTCCTGCGATTCATGCAGCCGCAGCAGTGTGTGTGAGTTTCCTTGAACCTGCTTCTCCTCTTTGCCGTGCGTGTTGAGTCGCCTATAAGTTTTTTTCCCTCTCAAGAGATGAAGGCTCCTGGGATTCATGCAGCAGCAGCAGTATTCGGGAGTTTCCTTGCTCCTTTTTGGCCCTCTTTGCTCATCGTTTTACGTGCCTTGAAAGTTCTAGTCTTGTTTTGAGCCACATGACTTGGCTGAAACTTGTCACCGCCCACTCGCTCACTCACTCTATCAATGATTCATTCACTCACTCGCCCCTTCAACCCATGCCATGTGGCAGATGCTCATTGGTCTCGTGCCGGGCGGTTGTGTGACGGCCCTAGTGATGGCCTGGCTGGTGGCTGTAGCCTCGCTGGTTGTTGTGGCACTGCTGATCTACAGAAAAGGCAGCAGCAGAGGGATGTACCATAGCTAAAGCATTCATATCGGGGTGTTGTAAACGCTGTGCATATGGGGTGTATGACTGATATGTCCTGCCAGCCCTAGTGATGGCGTGCCTCAGTAGCTGTTGCCTCTAGTAATTGTTGGGCTGCTGGTTAAAAGAAATGGCAGCAGCAGAGCAGAGGGACTTACTGTAGCTGAAGCATTTCTCTGTTTGTATGGGTGCATGAAAGCTCAGTGTTTTGAGTGGTGTCCTGATGGCCCTATTGATGGCCTGGCTCGTAGCCTTTTCTGCCTCTCTGATAGCATACAGAAGAGCCAGTAGCAGAGGAAAGAGGAGAATCACAGAAAATACACCAAACACCTTGGAGTGTATAACATACTTACATAATCATTTTAGGTGACAGTGGTGATGCTCCTTCCGTTTGCGGGAGGGTGCGTGTGGAACAATGCTGACAGTCTGCGCTGACCTCGTCGTGAGATTTCAATTTTCAAATTTCGTGAGATTTGACCAGACGTCGTAGGTGTTTTCGCTGCAACCAAACGTCTTCATGCGAATGGAGCACCTACTGAGTAACTCGTGCGATGTTCGCTCACGCACAAACCGGGCCCACTCGCCACCGACTGTTATCCAACGCGCTTCCCGCCTCACACCTCCTTCCTAGCAGCCCCTGAAAGCCCCCCTGTCGTTCCAGTTGGCCAGGCGGAAGGGGAAAGGGGGGCAGGAGCGGGGAATGAGCGGGGGTGGGGGGTTGGGGAGAGCGGCACCTTCCACCAATTCCAGGCGAATGAATTTCTCGGACCCAATCACGACAGACAGGGTTACCAGGGGAGGGTGGGAGTGGGCGGGGGCAGGGGAGGGGCATCGTCCCACAACAAACCCAGGCGAAAACATTTCTCAGACCTAATCACGACAAACAGGGTTACCCGGGGAGTACAGTGGATCAACTAACTGCTCATCGCAAAAGCGCGTCAAATCGAGCCGCGTTGTTCTCCTACGCCCTCCTACCTTCCCACTCTCCCAGTCGCTCCACCCAACCCCCCACCCCACTGCAGCCATGGCAAACCAACCTGTTTGATCGTCGATCGTCCTAGCAACCTTAGCTGTCCTAAGTTGTCCTTAGTTGTCCTTCGGGTGACTCGACCGTTAGTTGTCCTTCGTGTGACCCGCGCGTGGCGCGTGAGTCGGCACTATCGAGGTACTTGCAGCAGCAGCAGCACCCAGGAAACTCCTGATTGCGCCTGATTGGTTGAGCAGTATGAGGTGCAGTTATGAGGAGCGTCACATGAGGAGCGTCACATGAGGAGCACATGAGGGCTTCACTTCATCCATTCACCAGCAGCACCCAGGAAGCTCCTGGTTTCGCCGGATTGGTCGTAGCGTGCCGCGACGCGACGCGACTCCTTTCGCAGGAATATCGAGTAGTAGTACTTAGCATGGCGTCATCTCGAGCTTTCATCGTCAATCGGATCAAATCCTCACGTCTTTTTCCAAGAGCACTGCGGATGATCAATCACATCCCTCTGCGTTCGCTCAGACGATCCTACAGTCGGAAAATTTTCTCCGCATTCGCCACAAACGTCGATCTCCACAGTCCTCGATCTCCCCCTTCACATAGGTCTTTAGAGACAAGATCAATCGTTACTGAATCCAAGCTAGCTACGTTCCCGTTTTCAGTTGACGATAATAAATCTATCCATGGCGCTGCACAGCTCTCTGAGCGCTTTCGCGGAAAAGTACGAAATCAGAAAGGATCTGGGAAAGGGACAGTTCGGCGTCGTTGCGGAATGCGCGGAGCGCGTTTCCGGCAGGCGACTCGCCTGTAAGGTGGTCGCGGCGCACAAGCCAGCGGTTGACGCGGCGCAACGGGAAGTAACGGCTCTTTCGCTCCTGAAAGGGTGTGAAAATATCGTTACTCTCGAGGATGCTTATATCGGAGAGGGTGGAAGGGGGATGGTGCTTGTAATGGAGCTCGCTACCGGCGGCGATCTTCTAACGCGGATAGACCAGAAGGGGCGGATTCCGGAGTCTGAGGCGCGTGAGCTGTTCAAAGGAGTCGCCATGGCTTTAAAGCAGTGCCATTATAACGGGGTTATTCATCGTGACGTCAAACCCGACAACATTCTTTTGTTTCCCGCCAAAACTTCTCTCCTTCCGCGAATGTCATCTGAAAGCGGTTCACCCAGTGCGTCTCCAAGATCAACCCTAATAAGCGACTTCATGGGTTCTTGCGACTTCAGAGGTTGCGAACTCACTGCGAAGCTCGCCGATTTCGGAATCGCGAAGGTGCTTGCTCCGGGAGAGAAGATCGACGGTTATGCAGGGACCTCCCCTTACGAGGCTCCCGAAGTTTTGGCGGGAAAATCATACGATTTCGCTGCAGACATCTGGAGCCTCGGTGTTACTCTCTACGCAATGCTGTCGGGGAAATGGCCGACTTTCGCGAACGGTCGCCGCGCGTTTGACGAGAGCAAGGACTGGGACTCCCCCTGCTGGTGGCTCATCTCGAGCCGAGCGAAGAATCTCATCCGTTCGATGCTCGCAACCGACCCGCAGATCCGACCGTCCATTGACGAGGTTCTGAGCGACCCTTGGATTTGCGGCGCCTCGTTGTTTCCATCTTCATTCTCCGGCGCTGGTTCTTCCAGAAGCATTCCCAAGGCTGCTGCTGCTTCTGCTGTCCAACCTCCCCCTGCATTTGCCATCCAACCTGCGACTTCATTTTCTATCGCAGATGCAGCTTCATTTTGCAGCACCACTGCTACTGCTGCTGCTGCTGAATCCCCTAAAGGTCCCTTGCCTGCTGCTGATGGCCCCTCCTCTGCCTTCACGTTCCCGCTTGCGACACTCACGATCAAGACCACGTACCGAACCACATGCAGCACGGTCAAAGCATGTCGCAAGCTCGCTTTTGACGTGCTTCGGCAGAAGCAGTGGCGTCGCCAAGGCGTGTCTGCTGCTGAAAAGCTCTCTCCATGTGCCAGCAAGCTCTCTCCATGCAACAGCTCTCTGTCGCAGCGGCACAGCTGCAAGTCCCAGCGGGCTTCGGGAAGGCTCAGTGCGCGGGTTGCTGCCATGGCTGTTGCTGCGGTTGAACAATGCACTGCTGATGGGAGTTGTGGCCTAACACAGCCATGACTGTTTTGTTCCGTTTCACCAGCTTCAGGAAGGCTGAATGTGCAGGTTGCTGCCATGGCTGTTGCTGCGGTTGAAGAATTCACTGGGGATGGGAGTTGCAGCATGCATGCAAGAGATATTGTGATTGAATAACTGTAACATAACGTGATTCTATTCATTCAATTTCATTCAACCAGCCCAAGCTTGTTTCTGTACATCCGTCTTACACTGTGACCATCCCCTCTCCCTCTGAGGGTATGCGGTATTGAGGTTTCTGGTACGGTGTTATCTTCTAAGGCCAACTTTGGATGGGCTGTACAGTACAGCATATAAACATCACGTACCGTAAAGTGACTGCACAGACACGGCCCATTTCATATAGAGCAGATTTCATAGAGATACAAAAGACAACTATGGTATTGAACAACCATACCATATGTACAACGTTGTATTTTTACACAATTCGCCCTCGCGTACCTTTAATCTCCTGCTCTTCCTCCACCTCCTGCTATTGGTACCTTATCCCCCCCCCCCCCCCCAACCCTCCTCCCCTCCCCTCTATTCCCCCACCCCACCCACATATCACCACTTCGCACCAACAACCACCCACTCCCCGCAACCCTAAACCCTCCTACATCACCGCCTCGCATCAACAATCATCGCTCGGGCCCAATGCTCCACATCCTCGGCATCACTTGGGGGAGGTGGCAACTGAACCGCATCAACCACCGCCCACTCCTCCCCCCCAACCTCCTTCCCTTCTCCCCCCACCTCCCTCTTCCCCACGCCTCCCTCCGCCTCCGTCCCTCCTCCACGCCATCCCTCCCGCTTAAACCCCATTCCTTCGCCATGCCCCTTCCCTCTCGATCCCAGCAGTCTCTGCTTGAGATTCAACCCATTTGCACCAGGTTCGGAGACCAGATAGGCAGGCATCTCCGAACCTGCCCTCTCTTTAAGATTTGATACGCAGGAGTTCGGAGGTGGGTCGGAGCTGGGGCTGGGGTTAATGGTGTTACGATGGGTGTGGGGAAGAGCGGCGCTTGTGCTTGTATCGGAGATGACTTTACAGGGTATTCTGCGACCGTGCTGCTTGGACGGGGAAAGAGGGGGCAAGAGGGAGGAGTGGAAGGTTGAGTGGGGAGGAAACGCGCTTGTGCTTGTATCGAAGATGACTCTACAGGGCTTAGGCAGCTTAGGATAGGGGAGGGAGCGGGAGGGCGGGAGAGAGGGTGGGGCGGAGTGTGGGGTTTAATACGGGAGAGAGGGGGAGATTTCAATACATACCTAAAGCGATTATATGCAGAATGAGTAAGCGGTCATATGCATCTTTCCTCATCTCCCTTCACTCACCAGGCCTGCTGCTGTTGTGCTAATATAGTCCTCAACAAGGGAGTTTCCAAGAAGGTTCTCGTGAGACACTTGCACCCGCTCCCCTACTCCCCCTTCGGCAGCAGCAGTGGGAGCAGCAGCAGCAGCAGCGAAGGGGGGGAGTGCCGGATGGTGCGATTTTAGGTGGGGAGGCTGAGTGGTGGTGGTGGTGGAGGTTGGGGGGGAGAACAGGAACGACGAGTCGCATGCCTGGCTGCTGCAAGGAAAACAAGCCGGGAGAGGAGAAGAGGAAGGGAGAAGGGGAAGGGGCAGGAAAGCAGAAGGAAGAGTGGACAGCGTGAAAGAGAGCTGAATGGTGTGGGACCGGACCAGGTGGGGAGGCTGAGTGGTGGTGGACGTTGGGGGGGAGAACAGAAATGACGAGTCGCATGCCTGGTTGCTGCAAGGACAGGGAAGTGCGGGAGGGGACAGGGAAGGGGAAGGGGAGGGCGTGATAGAGAGCTGGATGGTGCGGTTTTAAGTGGGGAGGTTGAGTGGTGGTGGAGGTTGGGGGGGAGAACAGGATCGACGAGTCACATGCCTGGCTGCTGCAAGGACAGAGAAGTGCGGGAGGGGGGATCAGGAAGGGATGGAGCAGGGAAGGGGAACGTGGGGATAATGAGGTGAGAGAGAGAGCTGGATGGAGTGGTTTTAGGTGGGGAGGCTGAGTAGTGGTGGACGTTGCAGGAAAGAAAAAGAATGACGAGTCACAGCCGTGGCTGCTGCAAGGAAAGGAAGTGCTCGCTGGAGGGGGGAACGGGAAGGGGATGAACCAGGGAAGGGGATCGGGGGGGTAATGGCGTGAGAGAGCCGGATGGAGTGGTTTTAGGTGGGGAGGCTGAGTAGTGGTAGAATTAGGGGGGAAGAAGGGGAGGAAAGAACGGGAACGACGAGTCACATGCCTGATTGCTGCAAGGCAGGCAAAGTGAGGGAGGAAAAGGGGAAGAGAGAAAGGAAAGGGAGAACGGGAACGGGTTGTTGGGAGAAAAGCTGGGGAGGCCTTCGAGTATCGTGGTGGATTGCAGTGGAGGAAAAAAAAGGGGGGGAAACGATGAGTTGCATGCCAAGTTGTTGCAAGAAAAGAAAGGAGGGGGAGGGGAAGAGAGGGAAGGGAGGAAGGGACGAGAGAGGGGGAATGTGAGAGGGGGAATGTGAGAGGAGGACGGAAAAAGGGGAACTTTGGACAGTTTGAATCCATGAGCAAGTGGAACTCAGCTTACCGCAGGAAGGGTAACCGTGTGTCCCGCGTGGCGGCTGACATCATCATTGCCAGCTCAGCAAACTCGTCCAGCTCAGCACCACCTCCTCCCCGAGCCTCATCTCCAGGTTTGGTGATCCCGAACCTGCCAGCTTGGGCGGCAGCGAGGCAGGCAGCACTTCTCCGAAGCAACCGCAGTCCTCGCCGAAACTGCTTGATCTCGCCAGGTGGCAGCTGCTGATTCGCAGCCGAGGCATGGGAGAAATTTATCGGGTTGCCTGCTTCGTCTTGTAGCGGGGAAGGCGGTATCCCAGCCCACGAGCCAAAGAGAGAATTGCAGGCGAAGGAGGAGGAGAGGAAGCTTCCAGGAAGTGTGGAGGCAGAGGAGTGTGTGGAGGCGGAGGGAGAGGAGGGGAGGTTGGAGGAAAAGGGAGGGGAGGAGGGGGAGTGGGAGGAAGAGTCGAGGGAGGAGGGAGATTGCGAGTGCGAGTGAGATGGTGTGAGAGAGAAGGAGATCACATCCCTGCAAAACAGAGACCAGAAAAGGGATCATGAGTCATACAATTCGTTTGTGTAGTACTTTTATAATTATAGGTATAGATATTTATACTTTCTGTACAACAAACAATTCCCGTAGGTAGTCACCTGGGGTTGGAGGGAGGAGTGAGGGTCCAGTAGGACTGCCGGTGCCACACCTTGGATGATGATGCCTGGCGGGAGGGAGGACGATCAAAGTCAACACAAGACAATGCAGGTCAAAACAAGTCAAAAAAGGGAGAGTTGGAGGGAGGAGTGAGGGTCCAGTAGGACTGCCGGTGCCACACCTTGGATGATGATGCCTGGCGGGAGAACGGGCAAAGTAAACACAAGTCAATGCAGGTCAACGCAGGTCAAGACATGGAGAGGGAAAGCAGGGAGGAGGGAGGAGCGAGTGACCAGTATGGCTGCCGGTGCCACACCTTGGATGATGATGCCTGGAAGGAAAGGACGGGCAAAGTCAACACAAGTTAATACAGGTCAACGCAGGTCAACAAGGGGAGTAGGAGGGAGGAGCGAGTGACCAGTATGACTGCCGGTGCCACACCTTGGATGATGATGCCTGGCGGGAAAGGAGGGGCAAAGTCAAACGAGTCAAGAACGTCCAGAACGACTGTTGGTGCGACACGTTGGAAAAAAAAGGAGAGAGATTTGAAGAGCAGGTCAATGCCCGTCAAGTCAGGCCAATGAGAAAAAATACTCACAGCAAAGGCAGCGACGTGCAGGAGAGGGAAGGAGAGATACTTGGAGAGCAGTTTAATGAGTTCAAGTCCCAGTCAACATAAGTCAACGCAGGTCAACGCAAATCAAGGTGCACTCACAGCAAAGGCAGCGACGTGTAGGAGAGGGAAGGAGAGATACTTGGAGAGCAGTTCCAGCAGTCGAATCAAGCAGCTGGAGTGGTGGAGTGCGGTGGGGTGGGGTGGGATGGAATGGGGTGGCGTGGGGTCGGGTGGGGTGGCGTGAAGTGGGGTGGGGTGGCTTGGGGGAATGGGAGTTAATCTAAACTGGCTTAGACAAGAAAGCAGGTCCAGGAGACAAATCAAGCAGGTGGAGTGGTGGAGTGGGGTGGGGAAGGATGGAGAGGGGTGGGGTGGGATGGGGTAGACCGTAGAAGGATCGGAGTTAGAACCAGAATACCTAAGGGGACTCAGGAACAGAAACGTATGCGGGAAACAGGTTCAAAAGACGAACCAGGCAGCTGGAGTGGTGGAGTGGGGTGGTTAAGTGGCAGGTGGGAGAAAATGAAACTTAACCTATGGAAACAACGAGCTCCAAGGGGGGATGTAAGAATCAGCGGAAAGGAGACGAGGAGTAGAGGCAAGGAAGGATGGAGGGAGGGGGGAAGCGGAGGTGACTGGAATAATGCTATGGCGAATTCACCCTATAGCAGCTGCGAGCTCTAGTGGAGGTATCAACGGGATGTGTGCGTCAGAGGAGGTGAGGCGGAGGCCGCAAATAGGGATCAGTGAAATGGCCGGGATCAGGGAGGGGAGGAGAGGAGTGGAGAGGGTTGGTGGAAGGGGGGAAGCACGCACAGACACAACAAACTCACTCACCCGATGGCAGCTGCGAGCTCTAAAGGCGGGATGAGTGGGATGTGGGCATCGGAGGAGGGGAGGCGGAGGCCGCAGATTGAGAGAGTGAACCCGCCGGGGTCAGGGAGGGGAGGAGAGGAGGAGAAGCGGGGAGGAGGGGAGGAGGAGACGGGAGGAGGGGAGGAGGAGAGGAGAGGGGAGGGGAATGGCATGTGAAGAGCTGAAGTCGTGGGGGTGGTGGTGGTAGGAGGAGGGGTTGGGGATGGAGTGTTGGCTGGTGATGGGTTGGACGGCAGGGGCACCTGAGATACATTGGTAAATAGTGAGGAAAAAAAAGGGTTCGTAAATAAACGATGCTGCATGCTTAAATAGCAACTGAAAGAGCCCGAAAAAAAAGGGGTTAGGCAAGGTGAGGGCAAGGCAGGGAAGAGGCAAGGCAGGGCAAGGCAAGGCAAGGCAAGGCAAGGCAAGACGAGGTAAGGTGTGTGCACCTTTTTGAAAGGAAAGATGTCTCGGAGTCTCTTCAGGCACAGCTGCTGATCTGCTCTCAGTGCGCCCTGCACTATCTTCTGCTCACGCATGGACATACACGTGAGGGAACGCCAGGGGACATACATGTGAGGGAACGCCAGGGGACATACACGTGAGGGAACGCCAGGGGACATACATGTGAGGGAACGCCAGGGGACATACATGTGAGGGAACGCCAGGGGACATAAAAAATCGCCTCAACAAGAGTGTGTGTGTGTGTGTGTTTGTGCATGTGTGTGTGTGTGTGTGTTTGTGCATGTGTGTGTGTGTGTGTGTGTGTGTGTGTGTGTGTGTGTGTGTGTTTGTGCATGTGTGTGCGTGTGTGCACTATTTTCCTACTCAAACCGTGCCGGTACGTGCCTGCAAATTGCCCAGAGCCTGCAAGTTGGTCCGGTCCCCTCCCAGCTCCATTGGTCCCATGGTGCCTGTGCTTGCAGCTTCCTGCGCCAATCCCGCACTACCACTTGCTATCGACACTCCTGTGCCTGCTCCGCCCGCCCTTGCTGTTCCTCCGTGCGCTAATGCTGCTCTCCGCATGGCCAGCTGTGGTAGAGGAGGGAAAAAGGGGAGGGGGGGATAGAGGAGCTGCCACCGACACTCCTCCTAAGGCTGCTCCACCCGCCCTTGCTGCTCCTCCGTGCGCCAATGCTGCTCTCCGCATGGCCAGCTGTGGTAGAGGAGGGAAAAAGGTGAGGGGGGGATAGAGGAGCTGCCACCGACACTCCTCCTAAGGCTGCTCCACCCGCCCTTGCTGCTCCTCCGTGCGCCAATGCTGCTCTCCGCATGGCCAGCTGTGGTAGAGGAGGGAAAAAGGGGAGGGGGGGATAGAGGAGCTGCCACCGACACTCCTCCTAAGGCTGCTCCACCCGCCCGTGCTGCTCCTCCGTGCGCCAATGCTGCTCTCCGCATGGCCAACTGTGGTAGAGGAGGGAAAAAGGGGAGGGGGGGATAGAGGAGCTGCCACCGACACTCCTCCTAAGGCTGCTCCACCCGCCCTTGCTGCTCCTCCGTGCGCCAATGCTGCTCTCCGCATGGCCAGCTGTGGTAGAGGAGGGAAAAAGGGGAGGGGGGGATAGAGGAGCTGCCACCGACACTCCTCCTAAGGCTGCTCCACCCGCCCGTGCTGCTCCTCCGTGCGCCAATGCTGCTCTCCGCATGGCCAGCTGTGGTAGAGGAGGGAAAAAGGGGAGGGGGGGATAGAGGAGCTGCCACCGACACTCCTCCTAAGGCTGCTCCACCCGCCCTTGCTGCTCCTCCGTGCGCCAATGCTGCTCTCCGCATGGCCAGCTGTGGTAGAGGAGGGAAAAAGGGGAGGGGGGGATAGAGGAGCTGCCACCGACACTCCTCCTAAGGCTGCTCCACCCGCCCTTGCTGCTCCTCCGTGCGCCAATGCTGCTCTCCGCATGGCCAGCTGTGGTAGAGGAGGGAAAAAGGGGAGGGGGGGATAGAGGACTTGCCATCGACACTCCTAAGGCTGCTCCACCCATCCTCGGTGCGCCAATGCTGCTCCCCGCATGGCCAGCTGTGTTGAAGAACAGGAAAGAGGCGAGGGGGGGATGAAGGATTTGCCACAGCCTTAGGAGCCATCCATCAACACTCCTAAGGCTGCTCCACCCTGCCCTGCCTAGGTGCGCCCGCTTGGAAAAAGATTCACTGAACTCCCAAAGAGCTTCTGCTGCAGCAGAAACGACCCCCCATCCATCCACCCATCCTACTCACCACGGCGTTGGCATGTGCGAGGAGCGACTTCTTTGAGTTGAGCTGCAGGCGCAGCTGCTCCAACCTCATGCGATCTGGTGAGGGTTTCAAGGTTTAAGTTGGAGGTTGGAAGAGGGGGTGGGGGAACAGGTGGGGGTGGCAAGCAGGAGCGACTTCTTTGAGTTGAGCTGCAGGCGCAGCTGCTCCAACCTCATGCCATCTGGTGAGGGTTTCAAGGTTTAAGTTGGAGGTTGGAAGAGGGGGTGGGGGAACAGGTGGGGGTGGCAAGCAGGAGCGACTTCTTTGAGTTGAGCTGCAGGCGCAGCTGCTCCAACCTCATGCCATCTGGTGAGGGTTTCAAGGTTTAAGTTGGAGGTTGGAAGAGGGGGTGGGGGAACAGGTGGGGGTGGCAAGCAGGAGCGACTTCTTTGAGTTGAGCTGCAGGCGCAGCTGCTCCAACCTCATGCGATCTGGTGAGGGTTTCAAGGTTTAAGTTGGAGGTTGGAAGAGGGGGTGGGGGAACAGGTGGGGGTGGCAAGCAGGAGCGACTTCTTTGAGTTGAGCTGCAGGCGCAGCTGCTCCAACCTCATGCCATCTGGTGAGGGTTTCAAGGTTTAAGTTGGAGGTTGGAAGAGGGGGTGGGGGAACAGGTGGGGGTGGCAAGCAGGAGCGACTTCTTTGAGTTGAGCTGCAGGCGCAGCTGCTCCAACCTCATGCGATCTGGTGAGGGTTTCAAGGTTTAAGTTGGAGGTTGGAAGAGGGGGTGGGGGAACAGGTGGGGGTGGCAAGCAGGAGCGACTTCTTTGAGTTGAGCTGCAGGCGCAGCTGCTCCAACCTCATGCCATCTGGCAGCGAGCAGCGAGGGGGGTTCATTCAGAGTTAGAACACACATGGGTTTTTGAAGATTCTCAATACCACTTGAAGGCTTCAAGTGAGATGCTGCAAGCAAGGTCATCCGATCTGGGCAGCCAGGGTTTCAGTCCAAGTTCACGCACACATGGGCTTTTGAGGATTCCAACAGTCATATCAAGGCTCCAAGAAAGATGCTGCAAGCTCATTGGATCTGACAGCACCAAGTTCAGTCAGTCACTTCAGGGTTTGAGTGGGACAGATGGGTTTATAAGTCGCTTTTTGAGTCGACTCAGAAAGCTGATCCGACAGCATGAAGCTCGGTCAGTCAGGTCAGGGTTTGAGTGGGACAAATGGGTTATGCGAATTCCCAAAGTGATTCTACGGCCTAGATGCTGCAAGCTCACACGAGCAGAAGATGGAGTCAGGCATTGAGTAGATGGATGGAAGAGAGGAAGTGTAGGTGGGCCGTTCACATCGGACGTAGATCATCCAATCTCCCCCTCCCCCACCTTCCAGAACTTGGGCTCGTTCCCTAGAAATTGCTCTTTTCAGCCACTCGCACCTCTCCTCCACCTCCACCACAAAATGATTTTCCCTTCCCTCTTCCCCTCCCCTCCCCTTCCCCTCATCTTCCCCCTCTCTCACCTTCCAGAACTTGAGCTCGTCTCCTCGAATTTGCTTTCCTCAGCACCTCGCATTGCTCCTCCACCTCCCTCCGCCGCCCTTCCCATTCATACTTCCCACCCTGATAGTGACACACACAACCGTTGACACACAGTTGACACACAGGAAGAACGTAATTTGGAAAAGAACGTTTGAATTAAACAGGATGGTGGAGGTTTTGGCTTTCCAGAAGCTTTACCTCAGCCACTCCGATTTCTAATCCACCTTCCTCTGTCGTCCTTCTAATAGAAACCCACCTGCCTCTCCAGCACTGCTGTCAGGCGATTCTTCAGGTGGTCTCTGTGGCACCTGAGACGATCCAGTAGCTGCCGTTGCTCGTGTTGGCTGATAGGAGGGGAATGGATGACGAAGAGAAGGGATAGAGGAGAAAAGATTCATCTACTCTCCCTCTCTCGCTCACTCTTGCCATGCCGATATGACATCTTTGGAAGTCAAGTATAGACACATTAGAAGAATGATATAAAATCTTCAGAAGCACGAGAAGAATTATACTATATCTTCAGACAACAAAAATTTGACCCTCTTCTTCCTTATCTTGCTCCTCGTTTCACTCCTCCTTTCGACACCTTGCCACGCTCCTTGCGATTCGACTCGACCTTTCCCATCACCACTTCTACTCACCCCTTCCCACCGCACTCTATCACTTACATGCGATCCACGCAGTCACAGCAGAGCGACGGCAGGTTGACCCCCTCACACACAGGACAAACGAGGCCGGCCATTTTTGTCCTAATTCAGGAGACTCTACAGTCAGCTTAGTGGTCTGTGGTTAACTCCTGACTCGCCTAAAAAGACCACGAACGTCTACTGACACGCGACTCGAGGGTCACGCAAGGGCTTAAAGGGACACCGCCCGAAGGATTCAGAGGCTTTGTGATTCCCGATTTTATCGGAGGTCAGCTGTTGCTGGTAGCGTGACATTCGGCAGCTGACGGTCAGTTATTAACGATCAAATTCGGACGGAAGGCTATTTACGGTCAACAGTTGATGGTTAGTTCCGGCTGGAGCTACAGTGTTCTACAACATTTAGTGCTGCCCTGTTGACACTGCCTGTTCGCGAAACCTCCAGCTGTCGGAAATTCCCACTCGTCGAATGCTTCTTCCTGACTCTTCAAACGCTTATAGGCGTATCATAAGAGATTCCAGCTGTCGGAATACGTTTTATGACTTGTCAGTTGCCTGCCCTTGCGACAACCGCACGATTTAGCACACACTGCGAAATCCTAACCGCAGACGGGCTGCGTGCGAGCGCAACTTCACCGACTCAGTGACGCGTACACTCGAAGTGTAACGTTGGACCGACAAGACCGATTGTCCAGACTACAACAGTAAACGTATCCTAAGCTCCCGCCAGTTCCGTCAAGCGTCGATTACGGAAACAGAGCAGGGGAGAATCTTATAGCGCCACCGAAAAGTGTGGTGTGGAGTGTGGCTTGATGAAACGAGGTGGCGAGAGCCATTGGGCTTGATCCGAGGAGCAGTCATGGAAGCAACTGGAAATGGTGGCCTTCTGTCGCATAAAGGTGGTTCTAGGATTTGACGTACGAGGACGTGTTGCAAGTTACGGTGCCCATGCCCATCGTTTCTGTTACCAATAGTTCTATTTTCGCTCATCTAAGCTTCCGAAGCGAAGTCCGAGCTGGTAGCGGGCGAACGAATCGGGTCATTTGCAGTGACGAACATCAGCGACTTATAGTCAAGTTCGTTAAGTCAACATTCGGTTTTAGTCCCATCCTCAGCACAGCGCACAGAGCATCCTGATTCCTCGTAAACAGGCCTTCGAAATCCGAACCTCCAGTTGATGGGGCCAGTAGCCTGCTTGTTCGGGGGAACGTGATGTCTGTCCGGACCTACAGGTTCTAGGTTTGGTACGACGAGTAGCGGGAGCCTCATGGGGCTGCAATCGGGCAGGCTCGATGGTCGCTGTGGCTGCGGGCCCAATAACCGCAGCCGAACGAAGTTTTACGCGCATAACGAAACTTCGTAATGACCTCGTAACCTTCGTGGAACTAGCAAATGTGTCCCTAACCTGGTTCGTCAGCTCTTTCTAAACGAAATAGTATTTCGCAAATTGGGCTTTCGTGAGTTCGAGAGATCTCGAGGGCCAAACCGACCAGCCAAGCAGCCTTGAGATTGTCGGCAGAACCAGAAAGAACCTTTTTTTGAGCCAAATCCAGCACCTGATGGTTCTGCAGGTTGAATGACAGAAACCTGAGTTATGATGGGAATGTCCAGCAATGAGGCGAATGGATGATCGCTCCTGGTGACTGAGCTTAGTAAAGGTTTTTACGATCGGAAAACAGGACACGGCATACCAATTTGATACCTGAACCTGAATTGAGCGACCCGGTTGAATTTTACTAACGAGGATCGGGCGTTCTAACGCTTTTCCCGCCGTGAAGGACGCCGCATTTTTCCGCCATACTTCGGAGCGGAACGACATGTTGTTTGGAAAGAAATTCGTGGCAGGTCCTCACCGTCGATCCCATCCGCATCCGACGGTGGGGGGTGGATTGTCCCGGCCAGACGCTTCCGCTTCTGACGCAGCTGAGCTCGCTGGGCTGACATGTGACACTAGCGAGCGGTTGATTGCGGATAATGACGAAATTGACCACGGCCATCCGCGTCATAGACATATCCGTGACGCGCATAATGCACAACCTGATGTACATCCGTACGCTGAACGCAATTCTCGTTCCCCTAATCCTCGAAGCCCTGAAAATGCCGACTCCATGACTGCTCGCAGCCAGAGTACTTCTCCTGACGGAAAAGCTTCATACAGTACGCTTGGAGCAGCTAATAAAGCGTCTGTTACAAAGCCCTTATTGCACAAGAGCGGGGTTGCTAATATCGCGAGTGGAGATGGCGGTGGGAGGAGATCCCGATGGCGTCTCTGCTCCTGCTGTCCGCATATAAACAGAGACCAAGGATCAGCCATCGTTGTGCTTGTAACGGGGCTGGCTCTAGTGGGACTACTCGCAGGTTTGGACGTGTGGATAGAAGTTATGAAGCTAAAAGGAGAAATAGGGGCACTAGGGGATGATGGAAACGGGGATGGGGGGGAGACAGGGGGAGGAGGAGCTAAAAAAAAACTTAGGGTGTGTGAATTGCCTCCGGGGATATACAAATCGGTGGAGAAGGATTTTTTAGGGCGAATTCCGGAGTTTCCGAAGCTAAAAGAGGCCCTGAAGCAGCCAGGAGCGATGAATTACTTGAAGCTTATTCACCGATATCTTGAGCCATGGCGACCCATCGCTGTGAGTGTGACTGACTGCTTTCCCCATGCCATTTTTAATACCATGCATGCCATACCATACATGTCATCCATGCCTTCATCAACATTTCATTAAATCCCTTTTCCTGCTTGCGCATTGCATACTTTCGCATGCTAACTCATGCATCATCAGCGCATCAGTACTTGTCTGAGGCACAGAGGCTTTGTGACGGCTGAGACAATCAGATTCAATCGTAGAATCTTTATGTCTTTTTCTCTTGCTCCTATCTTCTCGCATGCGTCAGAACATGACTGCTGGCCTGGGGCACAGAGGCTTTGTGACTCCCGAGGCGCTCGAATTCATCAGCGTTTCTCCGAACCTGATGTCCTGCTCCGGACATATCAAAGTAAATGCAACCTCCTGCTGCAAAGTTTGAATTTGAGTTATTACCTTGAACGCATCCACGCCCTTCCACTGTCATTTCACGAAAGTAAAGAAGTGAAGATGCACTTGTTACTCAATACTGTCACTTGTCATCATGGCAGGTGATTGACGGCAAAGTGTATTTCCGCTATGGTGGCTTCTGGAACCGTTACTACCGCCTTGGGAGGTTCCTCCAAACAGTCAAGATGCTGCAGGTGAGTCAACTCCAGTCAACGTGAGTCAAGAGGTGCATCGCAGGTGATTGACGGCAAAGTGTATTTCCCCTATGGTGGCTTCTGGAACCACTACTACCGCCTTGGGAGATTCCTCCAAACAGTCAAGATGCTGCAGGTGAGTCAATAGAGTTGACTTTTAAGTTGACTCAGAAGTCAACTTGGCTTCTGGAACCATTACTACCGCCTTGGGAGGTTCCTCCAGACAACCAAGATGCTGCAGGTGAGTCAACGGCAGTCAAGGGGTGCTAGGCAGGTGAGTCAACGCCAGTCAAGGGGTGCTAGGCAGGTGAGTCAACGCCAGTCAAGGGGTGCTAGGCAGGTGAGTCAACGCCAGTCAAGATGCTGCAGGTGAGTCAACGCAGTTTGAAGGGTGCTAGACATGGGAGTCAACGCCAGTCAAGATGCTGCAGCTGAGTCAACGCCAGTCAAGGGGTGATAGGCAGGTCAGTCAACGCCAGTCAAAGGCTAGGAACGTGCAATCACCTCACGGTCTTCCCCAGCTCATGCCAGTCACATGTCACCACCCCATGCCCTTCCCCTCTGCCTGCATTTCTCCTTAACCCTTGTTTATACCATCCACCTGGCAGGACGCAGTGACATAGTACTGCCTCTCCTCCCTCCGCCTTGAGCTCTTCCTCAACATGTGCGACCACCCCATGTCGTTCCACAGCTCACACTGGCCACATGCCACCACCCCATGCCCTTCCTTCCCCTCTGCGTGTCCTCATCCTGCTCTCCGCTCCCCCTTGGCAGGATGCAGCGACACAGTACCGCCTCTCCTCTCTCCGCCTCGAGTTCTTCCTCAACACGTGCGACCACCCCATGTCGTTCCCCTTCTCCCTGCCCTCCCCCATGCCCCCTGTCCAATCCACCTTTTCTGCAGGACGCAGTGACACAGTACCGCCTCTCCTCTCTCCGCCTCGAATTCTTTCTCAACACGTGCGACCACCCCATGTCGTTCCACAGCTCACACTGGCCAAATAGAGGCGGGCTCCCTTTCATGAGCACGGGCTTTACTGCAGATACGATCGACATTCCTGTCCCGGACCCACTTGACTTGACTGGGCCCTACACGCCTGATCTATCCACTCAGGTGTGTGTGTATATATGGGTGCTGCATGGGGGCTATATGGGTGCTTCCCTTCCCTTGCTGCGTGTGAGTTGCTGCCGGCCTTCCACAGCTCGCACTGGCCAAACAGGCGCGGGCTGCCCTTCATGAGCACCGCCTTCACAGCAGACACTATTGACATTCCAGTCCCCGATCCGCTGGACTTGACAAGCACTCGGACCCTACACCTCGGACCTAAGCACTCAGGTATGCGGGCATGCGAGCAACCCTGCATCTCCAACACTTCCTCCCCTCAACCCCCCTCGTCCTCCCCTCAACCTCCCCTCCCTCTTCCTCCCCTCAACCCCCCCTCTTCCTCCCCTTCCAACGTCCCCATTTCCCCCAGATTCTCTGGGAGAAGAAGGAAGCACGGGCAGTTTTCCGAGGAAAAACAACAAACTACGAGCTCCTACCAGCAGGCAACTGGGGCGCCAACCCGCGCATCCGCCTGCACCTCATGTCCCCTGCGGCTCCCCACCTGATGGATGCGCGCATCAACGCGTGGTCCAAGGCGGAGCAGCGTGTGATCAAAAGGATGGTAAAGGACGGGGTGCGACTCGCCAGGAAGATGAACTTCCAGCAGTTCAACACGTTCAAGTACCAGGTGGGTTGCCTTGGGGGGGTGTCTTGGGGTGTGAGTGGGTATGAATGGATGGGTGAACGCATGCGTCAACGCGTGGTCCAAGGCGGGGCAGCGTGTGATTAAAAGGATGGTAAAGGACGGTGTGCGGCTCGCCAGGAAGATGAATTTCCAGCAGTTCAACGCGTTCAAGTACCAGGTGGGTGGGTGGGTGCGTGTGGGGGGGGGTTAGAGGGGTTGTGAGTATGGGGTGCGAGCTTGCGACCTCTCCTCACCAGGAAGATGAATTTCCAGCAGTTCAACGCGTTCAAGTACCAGGTGGGTGCAAAAGAGGGGTGCGTGAATGGGTGGGTGTGTGGGTGTGTGTGGGTGTGTGTGTATCTGGGCATGCATGCGTATGAGCGTGTCCTCGCCAGGAAGATGAATTTCCAGCAGTTCAACGCGTTCAAGTACCAGGTGGTGGGTGTGGGGTGTGTGTGCCTATGCTACCTGCCTGCCTGCGCCTGATGCAGCCTCCACCTGATGCTACCTGCGCCTGCTTGCTGCCTGCATCTGGTGCAAGGCTCGCCAGGAAGATGAACTTCCAGCAGTTCAACGCGTTCAAGTACCAGGTGGGTGTGTGTGTGTGGGGTGCGCGGGGGGGTGCGTGTGGGGTGTGTGTGCGTGTTTGTATCTTCTACCTTCTACCTCGCTCTCCTTGCCGGAAGATGAACTTCCAGCAGTTCAACGCGTTCAAGTACCAGGTGGGCTGCTGGGGGGGTGGTTGGGGGGTTTGTGGGTGTGGAGTGGGAAATTGCACCTTCCCTCGTGTGGGGTGGGAAATTGCGCCTTCCCTCGTGTGGGGTGGGAAATTGCGCCTTCCCTCGTGTGGGGTGGGAAATTGCGCCTTCCCTCGTGTGGGGTGGGAAATTGCGCCTTCCCTCGCCAGGAAGATGAACTTCCAGCAGTTCAATGCGTTAGTGCCAGCTGGGTGCCTGTGGGGGTGCGTGCACGTTTGCTTTTCGCTCGTTCCCATTTTTGCACTCTCCCCATTGTCCATCTCCTGCCTCCCACTGGTGACAGATAGTGGCAGATGGGGGGGGAGGCAGTTGTCGCACGTGTGGGGTGCTGCGATCCAATCAGCTCATCATAAGGCAGCACACTCCCATGCTGCAGTTTTACGAGCCTCTGCTGCAAGATCGGGTGCACTGGCTCGCCACCTCCCGAACGTGAGTCGCTGGCTTGTTATCCATTTATTTTCTATGTTGCAGCTAAACCCACTCCCTTCAATCCCTCTCTCTGCCTCTCATTACTCCTCCAACCAATGTACCCCTTTGAAACCCTCTGCAATCCTTCGAAACCCTTTCTTCCAGCTTCTCAGACCTACACGAGGCGATCATATGGGCACAGCAGCACGACAAGGCAGTGCTAAGGATGGTGGAGGCTGGCAGATCAACCCACTCTCCTCCCTCCCTTCTCTTCCTCCTGTGTAAACGCTTTGCACCCGTTTGAATCCTTCTGAAACCCTTTCGAAACCCCTTCTTCCAGCTTCTCAGACCTGCATGAGGCAATCATATGGGCACAGCAGCACGACAAGGCAGTGCTAAGGATGGTGGAGGCAGGCAAACCCACTCCCTCCTCTTCCTCACTTCCTCCCACGTACCTCTTTGTACCCCTTGAAACCATTCAAAACCCTTTGAAACCCCTTCTTCCAGCTTCTCAGACCTGCATGAGGCAATCATATGGGCACAGCAGCACGACAAGGCAGTGCTAAGGATGGTGGAGGCGGCCAATCGCTTTGCAGACCATGCATGCACGTGGCACGGGCGTATGCTGTACTGGGCTCTGCTTCTCGTGAAGTATCAAGACGTTATGGCTGAACCCGAGAAGGTCTCACGGCCTGCCCAGCTGTGCTCTAAGCCGTGAGTATTAGAGGGAGAAAAGGGAGGAGAGTAGTAGGGTGTATGGGTGTGATGCACGTGGCACGGGCGCATGCTGTACTGGGCTCTGCTTCTCGTGAAGTACCAAGACGTCATGGCTGAACCCGAGAAGGTTTCAAAGCCTGCCCACCTGTGCTTGAAACCGTGAGTTTCAGAACGAGGGGAGGGGAGCGAGGGAGGGTGGTAGGGTCTGCGTAGGTGGGTGGTGGCACGAGCGCATGCTGCACTCAAGTGCACGAGCGCATGCTGCACTCAAGTGCACGAGCGCATGCTGCACTCAAGTGCACGAGCGCATGCTGCACTCAAGTGCACGAGCGCATGCTGCACTCAAGTACCAAAACGTCATGGCTGAGTGTAAGGGTTTCGAGGCCCTCTCAGCTATGCTTGAAACCGTGAGTTTCAGAACAAGGGGCTGTGCGGGTGGGAGGTGGTAGGGGCTGTGCGGGTGGGAGGGTGGTAGGGACTGTGCGGGTGGGAGGGTGGTAGGGGCTGTGCAGGTGGGTGGTGGCATGGGCGCATGCTGCACTCAAGTACCAAAACGTCATGGCTGAGCGAGGTTACTTTTGAGTCGACTCAAGAGTCACCTCTGTACTCAAGTACCAAGACGCCATGGCTGACCCTGAACAAGTTTCGCAGCCTACCCAGCCGTGCTCTAAACCGCGAGTGTCAAAACTAGGGAAGGGGAGATAGGGAGATTAGTAGGGTATGTGTGCGTGGTGGTGGTGGTGGTGGCACGGGTGCATGCAATACCGAACTCTTCTTTTCGTCAAGTACCAAGACGTTTTGGCTGAACCCGAGAGAGTGTCCCAGCCTACCCAGCTGATTCGTGGGCAAGCCTACTCCCAGGTCAAGAGGGATAGGGGGTCAAGAGGGATAGGGGGTCAAGAGGGATAGGGGGTCAAGAGGGATAGGGGGTCAAGAGGGATAGGGGGTCAAGAGGGATAGGGGGTCAAGAGGGATAGGGGGTCAAGAGGGATAGGGGGTCAAGAGGGATAGGGGGGGGAAGACTCACATAGAGTCGATTTTTTAGAATTCTCAAAAACACCCTTCAGCAATAGGGATAGCCACGTGTAGATAGGTTATTTTTTAGACGTCTCAAAAATAACCTATCCACACGTTTTCTGAGAATTCTCAAAAACACCCTGCAGCAAGAGGGGTAGTGGGAGGAAGACTCAGACAGAGTCGTTTTTTCCCTTCCCTTCCACGCGTCATCCCCATAGCAGCATCGTGGCACCAACAGGGGTGGAGAAGGATTCGGCGTCGGTCACATGCAGCGACCCTGACGGGGAGAATCAGGGAAGCAGCTGGGAGGGTGCAGGCTAACCTGACTCAACTCCCCAACACTCCCATCGCCCCCCTCATTGGCAGCATCGTGGCACCAACAGGGGTGGAGAAGGATTCGGCGTCGGTCACATGCAGCGACCCTGACAGGGAGAAGCAGCAACAGGCAAAACTATCGCCACTCCCAACAATCCTTCCACCATCGCTTCCCTTTTCCCCCTTCTCCCCCTCCCCTCCATCGCAGCATCGTGGCATCAACAGGGATAGAGAAGGACCCAGCATCAATCGCATGCAGCGACCCTGGCAGGGAGAAGCAGCAACAGGCAAAATCTTCGCCACTCTCAACTCTCCTTCCACAATCGCTTCCCTTTTCTCCCCTTCTCCCCCTCCCCTCCATCGCAGCATCGTGGCAGCAACAGGGATAGAAGGGTCCGGCATCAGTCACATGCAGCGACCCTGGCAGGGAGAAGCAGCAGCTTGAGTGAACAGGAAACTCTATTGCCACTCCCAACACTTCGCCTTCCTTCCTTCCCTCCCTCCATCACAGCATCGTGGCAGCAACAGGGATAGAGAAGGACCCAGCATCAGTCTCTTGCAGCAACCCTGGTAGGGAGAAGCAGAGAAGCAGGCGTGGTCAACAGGCAAACCCTTTTCCAACCCCAGCATTTCCCCTCCCCCTCTACCCCCCACTTATTGGCAGCATCGTGGCAGCAACAGGGGTGGAGAAGGACCCAGCATTAGTCTCTTGCAGCAACCCTGGCAGGGAGAAGCAACAACCGGAGTGTGCTTTCTTCTGTGCTGGGGGTATTATCCCCCCAGAAAGCTTCAAGTGGTTACCAGCTGAGTCGCTTGACAAACTGGAGAGAGTCGGACCTCCGTAACACATGGTAACACGTTGCATTATTCATTCCTGTATAACGATACTGCATACTGGTCAGTGGTCACCGTATCAAGGCAATGCAGAGAAAGTAATGCGAAGTTCCATTCTTTTGATTGCGAATAACCTGTACACGGGGGAAGGATGTCTGGGCAGAGCAAGGACCCGGCATTGGCAAGCAAAGCATTTTGAAGCGCCCTAAAATTCATGTTGCAAGGGATGTCTGTGCAATGACCTTTCAATGCCAATGTCAGGCAGAATTGCGCACTACATACCCAACATGTTACATGCCTATAGCTGAACGAACAATGCAAGCAGCACAACACAATTCAAGTGGGCACATGGGTATGGCAAGGTACTGCCAGATACGGTATGGTAGGTACTAGGTGTTGGGCTGAGAAAGAGCCCTTAGGATCTTTACAGGGGTGAACTCTGGGTACAACTGATGTAATAGCGGAAGCTTTAATGAAGTAGTTGAACCACCTTGCGCTAGTATGTGAGGGCAAAGTAGATTGATTAAAACAAAGAGATACAAGATTATATATAAGAGTACAAGGAATATGAACAGGTACAGTTATAACTGTTCTGCTGTTGCTGTTGCGGTTCGATACAGTGACGACTCAGGCAACCGCTCTGTAGCGAGTCAGTTGTGTGTCCTTGCTGTCGCGCTGTACTTTGTCAGGTCAAAGGTCGCTGACCTTTGACTTTCGCGTAACCTCCAACAGTTACTTTCAACCTCCGAGGGTTGACTCGCCGGTGCTTCGATATGCTTCGCTTCGTTTATGCCTTAGTGTTTCGACACGACAGAGGCGCTTAAGATCGATTGTTTCCAACACTCCCCTTCGCTTCTGGAGTGTCGCTGCTGGTGACGTGGCTTTGTCCAGTCAGCAGCATGCAGTACTCGAACTTCTGCTTTCCGAGCTTCTTGGTCAAGTAGTCAGCTGCCATCTCGGACGTGGGGCAGTATGACAGCTCGAGCCTCCCTTTCTCGATCTCGTCCTTCACGAAGAAGTATCGCAGGGCGATGTGTTTCGTCCTGTTCGCGAAGCCGTTCTTGTTGGCGATGCGAATTGCCGACTGGTTGTCGCAGAACAGAGTGAAGCTGGGTAACTGAGTCAATTTCGCTTCTTCCAGCAGTTCGCGAAGGTAAAGTCCTTCCTTGGTGGCTGAACAGAGTGCAATATATTCTGCTTCAGCTGACGAGAGGGCGATTAATTCCTGCTTGCTCGACTGCCAAGAGATAGGTCCGATAGGTTCGAGGCGGTAGATGTAACCGGTGCGGGAGCGCCTGTTGTCGGAGTCGCCAGCGTGATCGGCGTCGACGTAGCCGATTAACTTAGGCGGTGTAGTTGCGTTCTTGTAGTAAGTTAAGCCGATCGTCGGGGTGCTGACGAGATAGTGAAGAGCGCGGTCGAGCTCCGCCAGGTGTTCCGTTTCAGGCTTCTTGAGGTAGGTGGCGAGCTGGCTTGCGGAGTATGATAGGTCCGGGCGGCAGGTGACGGCTGCGAAAAGGAGGCAACCCAGTTTCCTTTGGTAGTCGCGTATGCCGGCGGGCTTAAGTAGAGCGGAGCTTCCCTTGCTGCTTCCTGTCGTGTAGCGGTACGGTGTGGAGATGGCGGTCGGTGTGAGTGCGAAGCGCTTGGCGATGGTGTCTGCGTATTTCACGGCACTGAGGTGGATCACGTCTTCCTCTTCTCGGATGTTGAGACCGAGGTACTGTGTGACGGTAGATGAGACCGTGAGCGTGAGGTCCTTCTGTAGCTCCCCTTCGAACCAGGTTGTGATGCCGTCGGTCGAGCCGATGTAGAGTAGATCGTCTACGTAGACGATTAACAGGATGTAGTCGGTGTTCTTCGTGAGCCGGTACATGCCCTGATCGTGCGGTAGTTGTTTGAAGCCGATGCGAATGAGGCGAGCGTGCAGGTATTGTTGCCATAGCCGCGGAGCTTGCTTAATGCCGTAGAGCGACTTCAGCAGCTGACAGACTTGATTGGGCTCACCGTTGGAGCCGTGCGGTAATTCGACGAAGATTTCTGCGTCAACAGGTGCGTAGAGGAATGCGTTTGCGACGTCGATTTGCCGCAGCTTCTTCTTCTTCATGGCGGCGATCGCGAGGAGGATTCGGAGCGAAGTGTGTCGACTGACCGGAGCGAAAGTTTCGGTGAAGTCGCGTCCGTGTTCTTGGTCGAAGCCGCGTACGACCCAACGAGCTTTAAACTTGTCGATGGTGCCGTCAGCCTTTGTCTTCACACGGAAGACCCACTTCCCGGTGAGTACTGTTTTGTTCCGTGCTACGCTGATATGGACGACCTTCCAGGTGTTGCGTTCCTCCAGTGCCTTTAGCTCCCTGTCCATGGCTTCGCGCCATTTTTCCTTATGTTCCCCCCCCAGAGCCTGTTGAACTGTCGCAGGCTCTTTAGGAATGGCTGCGCCGTGAACTGCGGTGACGAGACCAAGGATTTGGAGTCCACTCTGTGTGTAGCGGGGGAGTGAAGTATCCTCTGGATAAACTGCTTCGTCTCCCGCTTCTGGATCAGGTGCGAAATTAGGTCCTACGCGTTCTGCTTCGTCGGTGTTGACTTGTGCAGGTGTAACGTAACCGTTGTCAGCGAAATGGTAATAGGCTTCGGCGTTGATGCTTTCGCGTGGGTTTTCGTCGTCCATTGGCACGTCGACGGAGCAGTAGGGGAGGGGTCCGGCTTCTTCCGAGGCTCCTTCCACGTTCTGCTCGTCCCAGTCAGCTTCGTCGTCTGCCGAGGCGAAGGCTTGGGTGCCTTGAAAACCAGCGGAGCGGTCGGGGTTTTCTTCTTGCAAGTTGGCAAGGTAATACCGAAGGGTGAGGTTTTCGTAGAAGATGACATCACGTGCTGCCACTGTCTCTTTTGTCTCGACGTCGAAAAATTTCCATGCGTTGTAATGCTTTTCGATGCCCAGGTGTAGCCCCCACTGTGCACGTTGGGAGAATCGGCCGGCTCGTGCAGATGGGGGCCGGTACTGTACCATGCAGCCGAAGACCCTTAACATTTTTGTGCTGCCTAGTTTTCCTGTCCACAGCAGGTGCGGTGATGCGTTGTTCGGGAGCGATGATGACGAGAGCAAGTTGTGCAGCATGACGGCGTGGTCCATTGCTTCGGGCCACTGGTGGTTGGGCAGGTGCATGCCACGTAGCAGCTTGCGCATGGTATTCTGGAGGGTCCTGTTCATCCTTTCTGCTACACCTTGCTGTTGATGGGCGTAGGGAAGGGAGATGAGCCGCTTGATTCCTCTTTCAGCCAAGTACTGCTTGAACCTCTGTGAGGTATATTCTCCTCCCCCGTCTGACTGGAAGCTCTTCAGTTTGACGCCCGATTCTCGCTCTGCTACTGGGAGCCACGCGACGAAGGCTTCGAAGGCCATGTCTTTGCTCGGAAGGTTTAGATGCCAGACATATCGTGTGGCGGCGTCGATGAAGGTGATGGTGTAGTTGTACGCGTTTTGTCCAGGCTCGCGGTTGTACAAGATGTCGATGTACACCTTCTCGAGTGGCGCGTAAGCTGGTGCGCTTGGGTTGTGGTGAGACGCGAACGGTTGATGCGGTAAGTCAGCTTCGGGACAGGTGAAACATGTTCCTCGAGCTCGCTGAAGTTCTCTGCCGTCAGTTAGGAGTAGAGAGTCTTTATCGAGCACGCCTGCTCTTATCGTGTTGTTTAACACCGTGTTGCTTGGGTGTCCCATTCTTGCGTGCCAGGTTCCTTCGGTGGCGCGATGTCCGGGTGAGCGCCGATACATATCGGAGTTGGAATAGAAGCTGGCCGTGAAGTTGGCGCTTCGATGAACTTCTTGTGGTGCTGGGTGTAGTTGTTGCGTGGGTGTCGGTGGTGTGTCATCGACGAGGAGTGGTGCCGTTGAAGGACCAGCGACTGGCGTTGACGTTCCTGCTGCTGCCGTTGATGTCTCTGCTGCTGCCGATGTTGTTTCTGCTGCTGCCGATGTTGTCTCTGCTGCTGCCGATGTTGTCTCTGCTGCTGCCGATGTTGTCTCTGCTGCTGCCGATGTTGTTTGAATTGTTGCTAACGCCCTTGTTCTTTCTGCCTCAGGGATGGTGTGTGAATACCAGAAGCCGCCGGTGCTGAAGTTTGGATCAAGGTCTGGAGGATGGGTCCATGAAGTGAAGGTGACGATGCCGTTGCTGTCTGCTGTGCCGAGGTCTGGGACAAAATCAAGAACGAAGACGTTATTTTTCAGGATCGCTTTTCCGATGTAGAGACCGCCCTTCCCGTGGTACAGCTTGAACTCCTGAGTGGTGCTGTCTGCTTCAAGGTGGATACCTTTAGCCATCAGTTGGCTAACGCTGAGTAAGTTGTAGCCGAGGCATTCTGCGATTAAGACCTTGGACATTTGTAGTATGACGTTTGTCTCTCGTGACTGAAGTTGAACGATTCCTTGTCGTCGTGTGCGCAGGATTTCGTTGTTGGCGACGGTGATGACTACTTCGCGTTGGAGTTGGTACTCTCGTTGCACGAAGCGTCCTGAAGAACACATGTGTTGTCCGCAGCAACTGTCCAAGAACCATGTGTCTTTTCCGGATGGCTCGCTTTGGGCGATGGCTGCGTATGTTGGATTCGGCTGGAGTGAATCGCGGTGAGGTGTGGTGTCGTCGAGTTGTTCTTCCGGTGAGTAGTACGGTGGTGATCCCGTGATGCAAGAGTCGCTCAGTCTTGCCATGCAACTGACGATGTTCCTTGCTCCTTGTGCAGGTTGTCCTGTTGAGGTCGTTGAGGCTTTAATCTGGGTCGTAGGATTTGCTTGCGTTGAGGCAACTTGATTACTTGAAGGTCGAAGCTGCCGCTGTGAAGGCGTTGACTGTTGTCGATTCGGGCAGTGCGTGCGCGGGTGCCCTGACGTCTTGCAGATGTGGCAGAACGGAGGTACGGGCTTCGGTTGTTGTTGTTTGTTGTTGTTGTAGCGTCGCTGAGTGTGGAATGCAAATTCCGGTGCTGATGTCTTCTTCTTGTGTCGTTCTTCTTGCAGGTCCATGTCTTGTTGCTCGGCATGGATTTCAGCGCAGAGTGCTGCTTCGGAGATTCTTCCGTGGGCTCGGAGAATGGCCGCCATTGAGGACCGAGGCCGCCAATGATAACTGTCACGAAGGCGTCTTCAGAAATCGACCCTCCGCATCGAAGAAGCTTGTCGCGCAACTCGCGGCATCGGCTGATATACGCCATTCCTTTCTCGCCTGGTTTCATTTCGACCGTTGTCAGTTGCGCCATTAACCGACCTTGATTTACGCTGTCTGTTGCTTGATACAGGCTCTTCAAGTGGTTGTATGCGAGCTCCGCGGAGTTGCCGTAACCCCGGTAAGACCGTATATTCTGCTGTTGAGTCGGGGTGATGTTTCTCAGTAGAATCGTGTACGCCATCATCGACTAATAGGTGTACTGCTGCTTCTCATACTGTGTGCCGTTCGTTGGGTATGGCAGGGACCCGTCGAAGAAGCCAAGTATCTGCGCGCCTTCCATCATTAACTCGAATTCAAACGACCAGGTGAAGAAATCCTTTCCATCGAAAGGTCTTGACGCCTGCATCTTCAGAACGTGCGCGAACTACGACTGAACTTGTAATGCGTCCAGTGACTTTTCTTGTCCAGGTGAAGACTGCGGGTGTGGCATAAAGCTGATGGACCCGCGCTCGTACGGAGCAAAGGTAGGCTGCTGCTGTTGATTTCCTCGTGCGTATGATGAGCCGTCGAGACTCATGGGAGTTGCTCCGTTGTTGTTGCTATTGTGTGACTGCGCAGGTGCCGATTGCTGGTGTTGCTCGTAGAAGGACATGAAGGAGAAGAATTTCTCCATCATGCTCTGGTCGAAATCTGCAGGTTGATTCGTAGGAGTCTCGGTGGATGTTGCCCGGGGTCTTGTTGCCGTACCCTCCTCTGTCTGTAGGCCAGAGGCAGGAGGTGGAGTAGGAGTAGTGCCCTGGGAGCCGTTGGAGGAGCTCCTTTCCTTTTGTGTAGCCATGCCTGTTGATGTTGTCGGTATCTTAATAGTTGAATTCTCCCTGACTGCTCTCATACCATGTTGGGCTGAGAAAGAGCCCTTAGGATCTTTACAGGGGTGAACTCTGGGTAGAACTGATGTAATAGCGGAAGCTTTAATGAAGTAGTTGAACCACCTTGCGCTAGTATGTGAGGGCAAAGTAGATTGATTAAAACAAAGAGATACAAGATTATATATAAGAGTACAAGGAATATGAAGAGGTACAGTTATAACTGTTTTGCTGTTGCTATTGCGGTTCGATACAGTGACGACTCGGGCAACTGCTCTGTAGCGAGTCAGTTGTGTGTCCTTGCTGTCGCGCTGTACTTTGTCAGGTCAAAGGTCGCTGACCTTTGACTTTCGCGTAACCTCCAACAGTTACTTTCAACCTCCGAGGGTTGACTCGCCGGTGCTTCGATATGCTTCGCTTCGTTTATGCCTTAGTGTTTCGACACGACAGAGGCGCTTAAGATCGATTGTTTCCAACACTAGGTACGGTAGGTGATTCGGCCCTCTTCTCCAAGACAGTTACGGCGTGTTTCTTATCAGGGCTTCTACGACCCCATATCAGGTCACCTCTTATCAGGCTCGCAAAAAATCACACTGAAATTTGCGCAAACCCTAAACCCTTCGCGCATTGTACCAGGCAAGTCTGATAAGATATCTCATGGTTAGATGACATCAGTACTACAGTAATTTCATGGGTTGCATAGTGTATGGCAGCTAAAAAACCAACTGTAAATTACTATAGCCCTGCCCTTGTGGCTTCTTTCAATGGCCCAGCCCAGCCACTCACGTTCCAAAAACACAATACCGTAGCTCACATAATTTGCCAACTTATCATTATTAAGACAAAGACAAACGGGTACACCACCATATCAATCAATCCTACAGAACGGTATGCAGCAATATATTGTAAACAAACTGCGCATAAAAATCCATGGGCCCCGGTGTACAGTAATGCAGGCAATCCCGAGGCGTTTCTTCAAACCAGCTGGTATGTCCATCCGGCCTCAAAGCCATAACCCCCTCCACATCCATATAAATCCCTCCCACCTCCGCAACCAACCGCCTCGCCAGCTCATTTTGCCGCACAAACCCGCCCCAATTAAACGGCAAAATCTCCTTCTGCTGTCGTTCCGCCAGCGGCCCCAAATTCTCCGTACAGTTAAAATGCCCCGGGGGAGTGTTCCTGTAGATAATCAGCTTATTCGGAAAATTCTTCCGGACGAAACGCAGCGCCCGCCGCACGTCCCTCACGTAAGCCTCATCATCAGTAAAATGGGCTCCTCTATTGATTAGGAGCACGTCAGAGTCGACTAATGCGCCGTGCTGGGACCAGGGAACGCTTTCTTTGGCAACGAATGTGTCTCCCACTGTGAGCCAGCGGTTGGAGGTGAAATGCATGGCGAACGCACCCGCGTCGCTGCTGCTGCTGCCGTTCGTGCCGATACCCCCTGCTGCAGCAGCAGCAGGATCAGCAGCAGCAGCACCTGCAGCACCAGCAGCAGCGACACCAGTACCACCACCACCACTACCAGCAGCAGCAGGATCACCAGCAAAAGCCCCAGGGCAAACGTCCTGCGAGGTGTTGAAGAAGTTCATGTGGCAGTGCACGTGCGGTTTGTGCTCCACCCACTGATAGCAGATGGTGCGGTTTAAAGCCCACGCCGCACTCTTCTTAACATGCCACAGCATGTGGTTGAGAAACGTGGCTGCAAACAGGTTTTGGAGCGAGTCTCCTACAATGTAGACTGTGAATCCCTTGTGCATTCTCCGGGGGTCGTCCATCCACCGCTCCCCTGCTGCTGCTGCCGCTGCTACCGAGGACGAGTCGTTGCTCCAGAGCCTGTCGCGCCTTGTTTCGGCTGCCCCAGCTGCCCGCTTGCAAAAATCCAGCCCGTCAAATTTCTTCCACACTGGAACCTCTTCGTTTGTATTTTCTGCCCCAGCAGCACCAGCAGAAGCAGCAGCTTCCGGACCTAACTCTGCATCTACCACTTTCTTAAGCGCCGCAGCCCCACACTTATCCTCCGGAACCAGATACTCGTACTTAAGTGTTTCTCTTACCGTCCACTTATCCGGACTCGTCCCTTTCAGCACCAGCTCATCAGCTCCCCACGTCGCTTTCCCCTTGCGCTTCTCCACCTGCTTGTGATCGCACATGTTCATAAAACCCGTGTATTCCCAGGGTAGAGTGCGAGGCGTGGCGTTAAACACCCACCTTCCCTCTCTTAGAACACACTCCATCCACTTGTTGAAAATAAGCACTTGGCGCTTGGTGTGTAAGCGCGTGCCTGGGATATGATCCGAGTAATCCGGAAACAGAGGAGGAGCGCGGGAATTCCCCTCTGCTGTCTGGTTCCCACTCCCCTCCTCACTCACACCCCCCCCTGCTCCTTCTCCTCCTTCCCCTCCTCCCGCCCCGTCCTCTGTCTCGTCCTTTTCGGGCGGTACGGTGAGGTTAAACAGCCGCGTCACAAACGCCCCTGCGCCCCCCTCAGCTGCTGCAATGTTCTCCCTGTGCTCGTCCCACTGCTGCTCGTTCAGCTCATACCAAGGGGACGGTTGAGGCCCTTCGTCCTTCTCTGAACCAGGGGAGCTCCGGGTGGGATGGGTTACCACCGCAGCAGGTGGTGGTGGTGGTGGTGGTGGTGGTGCTGCTGCTGCTGCTGCTGCAGCTGTTGCTGCTGAAGGGGATGGTGTTGCAGAGGAGGCAGTAGAAGAGGAGGTAACAGCTCCTCCCGTTCCTCCTCCTGCACCGCCCTCCACCGCTCCCGACCGTTTGACATCGCTGAAGTGTGCGCTCATGATCTCATCAAGTGCCCCCTCCACCAGATGAAGCCTGCACGACATACTGCTGCCTAATCCCACTGCTCCCGCTGATCCCGCTGATTCCGCTGATTCCGCTGCACCTGCCGCTCCTGCTGACTCAGCCGATGCCCCTGCTGCCCCTGCTGCCCCTGCTGCAGCACCACCAGCAGGGCCCTTCAGGGAAGGATCACAGGGCACGGCATATCGGACGATCCCTGCTGCTGCTGCCAGCATGCCAAACCCTTCAGGGTCTAAAACCGAGCCTGGTGTGATCGAACAAATGGAAGGAGCGGGGATGGAAAGAAGGAGCGAGTGAGTGGCAATGCGAGGACCACAGGGCACGGCATATCGGACGATCCCTACTGCTGCTGCCAGCATGCCAAACCCTTCAGGGTCTAGAGCCAAACCTGGTCCTGGTGTGAAATGGTGTGACGGGGAGTTACGCAAAACAGGGAAGAAAGAAGGTGGCTGAGGCAAACCGAACAATGCCCGCTGCTGCTGCCAGCGTGCCAAACCCTTCAGGGTCTATAGCCGAGCCTGGTAAATCGAGACAGGGAACAGGGAGAAAAGATGTGGTATTTCAGTTGACACAGCGGGGTGACATGGTGTAACGGGGAGGGGAGATAAGCAAAACAGGGGAAAAAGAAGAAGCGGCTGAGGCAATGCAATACGAGGACCACTGGTGCATATCGAATAATGCCTGCTGCTGCTGCCAGAGCCCCGAACCCTTCAGGGTCGATTGCTGAAGGGTGATCAGATCCCCGAACCTGGTGTGATCAGATCCCCGAACCTGGTGTGATCAGATCCCCGAACCTGGTGTGATCAGATCCCCGAACCTGGTGTGATCAGATCCCCGAACCTGGTGTGATCAGATCCCCGAACCTGGTGTGATCAGATCCCCGAACCTGGTGTGATCAGATCAGCCCCCAACACAGGGAGTAAAGCCAGGCAACAGAAAAGGAGGTGACTTTTGAGTCGACTTTGAACCAGCCATGTTGGAATCACTTTGAGAATAGCCACGTGTATGAAGAAGTGTTTTGAGACGTCTCAAAACACTTCTTCATACACTTTGAGAATTCTCAAAGGAGATTTCAGCACAGCCAGCCAGCCAGCGGCATACCAAGCTCTTTGCTCGGAAGAGAATAATAAACGGGCAGGTAAGGGCGTGTTACATTTTTCGAAGTCACTGAAAGTCCGGACGGCTGTCCGGACGCGTGCGAAGATTGCGACGTCGCACGGTCGCATTGCGACCAATGCGACGTCGTTCAGACCCTGACGAACTTACTGCCGAGATTTGACGAGTTCCGTAACCACACAATCGTCCGGACGGATGAAAAATGTAACATGCTCTAAACATATAGAAGTCTGAGTGGCAGAACCACCAGGACCAGAAGTGGTGGTGTTGAGAACTCTCAATTGGAAAGCGGAAGCTAGAGCTGGGCAGCATTGAAGGGGCAAAAGAACGCTGTGAGTGATGACTTAGGCGATTTTTGAGGCGCCTCAAAAGAATCTTACCTAGTAGGGCATTACCGGAAGGAGCAGAGGAGGTGTTGAGAGGAGCAGGAGGAAGGAGCAGCACGAGCAAGGCAGCATTAAAGGGCAGGAAGAGGAAGGGACTTTTGAGTCGACTCAAAAGTCACCTTGAGAGCAGCAGGAGGAAGGAGCAGCACGAGCAAGACAGCATTGAAGGGCAGGAAGAGGAGGGAGGAGAGGGATCAGCAGTCAACAAGGGGTAGACAACTGGGAGCATGAGCAGTGGCATTACCGGCAGGGGCTGAGGTGGTATTGAGAGCAGGAGGCGGAAGCAGCTCGAGCAGCGCAGCATTGAAGGGCAGGAAGAGGAGGGAGGAGAGGAAGAGGAGGGAGGAGAGGAAGAGGAGGGAGGAGACGAGGAGGAGGCAGGAGCTCAAGAAGAACAGCTTTGAAAGGCAGAAAGAGGAGGGAGGAGAGTGCGAGGTGAGGGATGAGAGTTGCCAGCAGTCAACATGTGATAAACCACTGGGAGTATGAGCGGTGAGTGGCATTACCAGCAGGGGCTGAGGTGTTGAGAGCAGGAGGCGGAAGCAGCTCGAGAAGAGCAGCATTGAAGGGCAGGAAGAGGAGGGAGGAGAGTGCGAGGCTGGAGGGGCCGATGAGAAGGCGAGCTCGGTTGAACAGCTTCTTGACTGGTGTTTTGGGGGGAGAGGGAGGGGAGAGAGGAAGAAAATGGGAGAGAAGACAGGGGTATATAAGAAGGGAGGAGAGCGCGAGGCTGGAGGGGGCGATGAGCAGGCGAGCTCTGTTAAACAGCTTCTTGACTGGTGTTTTGGGGGAAAGGCAGAGAGAGAGGAGGGGTGGTGAGAAGGGGGAGGAAGAAAGTGGGGTAAGAAGGGGACGTGAGAAAAGGGGGAGGGAAGGTGGGGAGGGAGAGCTGTATGAGGAGGCAAGAGGGAAAGGCGGAGGCTCGATGAGCGAACGCGTGACTTTTGAGTCGGCTCGATGCTGCTGCCACGCAAAGTCATGGCTCCTGTATGGGGCTCAAGAGGGAAAGGCGGAGGCTCGATGCGCCAACGCGTGAGAGGGAGATGAGGGGAGAGAAGACAAGTGCACATATGGAGGAAAGTGGGAAAGGACGAGACTCGATGGGCTGATGAGTCAAAGAAGAAAAAAACAAATCTGGCCCACCAAGAAGGCGCCTGCCCTTCAACCCACAGACAGAACTCGCAGACAGAACCTATTATATGAAATTGAATTGAATAAAACGAAATCTCACCGTCGTCCATCCCCATGTGGCCTTGATAACTCTCCACTCTCTCCGCTCCAAACCTCTCCACCACCAACCTCTCAGTCTCCTCCTTGCATTGAGTTGAGTTTCGAGGCGCCTCAAAACTCAACCCAATCTCCTCCTCCATCCATCCCCACAAAAACTCAAAAACCACAATAAGGTGAAAATAAAGTCGAATCTCACCGTCGTCCATGCCCATGTGACCTTGATAACTCTCCACTCTCTCCGCCCCAAACCTCTCCACCACCACCCTCTCAATCTCCTCCTCCTCCTCCACCACCCCCCCCACTCCCCCCCCTCCCCCCCCACTCTCCCCCGCTCCCCCTAACCCCGTCCGCACCACCACCACCAGCCACTCCCCCCCTGATGAGAGCCCATCCGCGGAAAGAAAGAGGGGCGGGGGGGAGTGGGGTTTGAAGGAGGGGAGGAAGGAGGGGAGGCCGTCTGGGGGGAGGAAGTGGCGGGCGCGGGCCAGGCGGAGGAGAGAGGGGGAGGGGGAGGCGCAGGAGAGGAACGAGGGCTGCCTGGGGGGAGGGGGGGGCGGGAGTGAGGGAGGGAGAAGGGGGGGGGAGGGGGAGTTGTGGGGGTAGAGGGAGGGGGAGGTGGGAAGGTGAGCAAAGAGTGGAAAGATGCACAGAAACGAGTCAATTCCCCAGAGGGGAATCAATTTTCAGAGAGCGGAGGAAGGAGGGGAGGCCGTCTGGGGAGGGGGCGGGGGAGTGGCGGGCGCGGGCTAGGCGGAGGAGGGAGGGGGAGGGGGAGGCGCAGGAGAGGAACGAGGGCTGCCTGGGGGAACGGGGGGTGGGGTGGTGTGGGGGGAGAGGGGGAAAGAGGGGAGCGCAGAGGAAGAGGGGAGTAAGGTGGTATGCAGAGGAAAGAGCAGAAATACATAAAGAGAAAGAGGGGAGCGAGGGGGAGGGAGGCCGGGAGGAAGGAGGGAAGGAACGAGAGGGGGAGGAAGGGGCGGGCGCGGGGGAGGCGGAGGAGGGAGGGGGAAGGGGAGGGGCAGGAGAGGTATGAGGGCTGCCCGGGGGGAGTGGGGGAGGGGAGAAGGGGGGAGGAGGGTGTGAAAGTGAGACAAGAGCAGAAAGATACACAATGACAGGAAGGATAGAATGAAGGGTGGAAGGCCGTAGGGGGGGAGGAAGTGGCGGGTGCGTTGGGGGGAGAGAGGGGGAAAAGGGGGGGAAGACGGGGAACAAGGGGAGGGTGGTTGAAGCGGACACAAAGAAGGGGCGTGTCTCCCTTGCCCCGTCTCCCCCTCCCCTCCCCCTCCGTGCCCAAACTAGCCTCTAAGTCAACTCTAAAGTCAATCAGAGCACTCACGACAGAGAGAAAGTGCACGAAGAGGAAGTGTGCCTCCTTCACCCCCTCCCTTCCCCCTCCCCCGTGGCCGAACTGAACTCAAAGTCAACTCAACGGCAGCAATAAGGGCACTCACGACAAAGAGAAAGTGCACAAAGAGGAAGTGTGCCTCCCTCGCTTCGTCCCCTCCCCCTCCGAGTCAACTCAACGGCAGCAATAAGGGCACTCACGACAAAGAGGAAGTGAACGAAGAGGGGGTGTGCCTCCCTCGCCCCGTCCCCTCCCCCCTGGCCGAACTTTGGGGGTGCGTGCAGTGCTCGCGAGGCCAGGTCGAATCCAAATAACTGATGGCTCATGATGCGAAGGGACTGGGGGAGACGGGGGACAGGGGCGGGGGTGTGGGAGGAAGGGTCTCGACTCATAGTAAGTGTCTCCCCCCTTTAGTTGAACCCACATGGCATTGCATGCATGTACCTGCAAGTATAACTGCTATTGCTGACATGGCATGGCAGGGCATGGCATGGCGTGGCAAGGCATGCATGCACGTACCTGCGAAAATCGGCATGGCGTCCTGAACAGCCACGTGTCCCGGCAACAGCCACTCCACCATCCACCTATACGTCTCCACTCTCTTGTGTTGTACTCGATACAGCGCGTCTCACTATATTTGTCTAGCTATAATCGAGTCTACATGGGCCATGACATGCACGTACCTGCGAGTATGGTAGAAGCATGGGGTAGTGTTCGAAACTTGGCATGGCATCATGAACCGCCATGAGTCCCGGTAAAAGCCATTCCACCATCCACCTATAGATCGCAGCTCGCCCGCGCACAGACTCCCCCCTTGCCTCGCGCCCCTCCCCCCGCTCCCCGCCCTCCGCGCCTGCTGCTTCCCCGTGCGCGCGCGCGTGCGCGGATGTGCTTATATGGGGGGGAAAGAGATGCAACACGTGCTCATATACCACCGCTGTAGTCCCCTTTGGATAAGAAAACTCGCTCGTGACGCCCTCTCCTGGTTTTCCGGACACGTCGGATCCACGTGGACCCCCGCCGAAGACGAAGCGGTGCGTGCCGTTGAACACGTGGCCGTGTAGATCGACGTACACGTCACGGAGCATGATGACGTGGCCGGGGTAAGGCGGCACCACGCAGGACTCAAGCTTCCCGCTTGGCCCAGCAGCAGCGGCAGCGGAGCTTGCGCCAGCGGAAGGGCCGGGGGAAGGGTTTTGCGGAGGGCATGTGCGGAACCACGGGGGGTGCGCGGCGGAAGCTCCCCCCGCGCGGAGCTTCTCAATGGCGGAACCATCCAGACAATTGGACACGGGGGGAGCGTCAGATAGTAGATTAAAGACCATGTCTTGAATCGTCTTTTCCACTGCTGATGTCATCAGCGGTTTGCTCTCGCAGAGCGCGAAATTCCCCGAGCCGCTGCCGAAAGGAGTGGTTCCTTCGCAAATGTGGAACTCGGGGCATTTCCCGGCTTTGCAGCCGCCCGATGCGATGCTCTCGATCACGGAAGGATCTGAGCGGTCCAAGTGGATCGGGATGAGATTCTGACCGTTGATGTCCTCGGAAATTGCCGTGACTCCACGGTGCTTTTCTCTTATCGGGGCTCCAGGGTCGATCGCGCCTCCACCGGTAGACGGCGGTTCTTGCTGAGCTAGCGATACTATAGCGAAGCAGGCGAGCGACGCTATAACGGACCACACGGGAGCCAGAGAACGTGACGGGACGAGAGACCGCGAGAGGATCGTATGGCCTACCATGGCTGTGATGGCAAATCAGCCAATGTAGAAAAAAGGAAAATAAGGAGGAGGAAGAAAATCAGCCCAAAAGCACGAGCGATCAAGCGACAATCCGAAACGCCATGACGGTCGGATTGGAAAGAACAGCCGGCATTGACGGCACGGCATCCATAAGTGTCAGTCAATCAGAGATATATGGGAGGAAAATGGAGTCTAAGTGAATACTCTGGTCGGCATTATCTAGGAGCGAATAGCAGAAGTGGTTGGGACTAAGTGCTCCGCTTTAAGGCGAACTCCTTACAATGCAAGCGAGAGAAAGAAATACTTCAGCCTGTCACCTTCAAGATACGCACTCATTCCCTTCACTTTTTGCTATACTGCAAAACTCACAACTCTGATTATTAGGTATTACACTGCAATAATGGTAGGACGAGAATAATAGTATATAATAACATGCCAGCAACTAAACTATCTATGTACCGTAAGCGTCTCATTGTGTGTTCTTTGCCATCTCTTGATGGCTTGAAGAGCCAGCACTCTAAACGATCTCGCACCAACCAAAATATCTAGACGCCGAAAATTGGGAGTGGGAGGAGGGAGGTTAGTAGGAGCAAGAGACAAACCACTAGTGTATGTGCTAGAGTGAGTGCTACTATCAACCCCTTGTATCGCAACTGAATTATCATCAGCAGCAGCATTGTCGTCACCGTCACTTGCGAGGGGAGAGGTAGACAGCCCGAGATCAATGTACAATCCTGTGGCCCCACCACCAGTCCTGCTACTATGTCTTTTGCTGCTGCTAGGGATGTTACGGCTGCTGCTGCTGCTGCTGCTGCTGCTGCTGCTGCTGCTGCTGCTGCTGCTGCTGCTGCTGCTGCTGCTGCTGCTGCTGGTACTGCTTCGGGAAAATCGCCTGGCAAGATCTAATGACTCCTCGTCTCCCGAAAAACCCCCTGGATTCAAAGCAGCAGCAAACCTCTCTTCAACTTCTGCTGAATTCACCTGATCCTCCACCTGCTCACCCACCTGAACCCCCACGTGACCTCCCCGCTGTTCCCCCACGTTCGTCCCCACCTGATCCTCCACCTGCTCCGCCACCTGGCACTGTTCATCCTGCAACGGGCACTGTAGCGCAACAGCATGATCAACCTGAAAAATACTAGCCCAGCGGCCATAGTCGGAAGCAGGGTTGAGGTTATGGGCAGGGAGGAGGAAGGGAGTGGGGCGCGCGGGATAGATTTCTAGAACCTGGGCATGGGGTGGTAACCAGATGAGGTTACTCATGCCCGCTCCTGAGAAGGAAGGGGGGTGGGAGGATGGGGAGAGAGGATGAGGCGGGGTTGAGGTTGCGAGCAGGGAGGAGGAAGGGGGTGGGGCGTGCAGGATAGATCTCTAGGACCTGTGCGTGGGGTGGTAACCATATGAGGTTACTCATGCCCGCACCTGAGGGGGGAGGGGAGAAAGGAGGGAGGGAGGAAGGGTGGGAGGAAGGGACAGAGGAAGGGAGGGAAGGAGGGAGTGTGAGGCATGGAAGTGGCGGGTCCAGTGGCCTTAGTCGGAAGCGGCGTTGAGGTTGCGGGCAGGCAGGAGGAAGGGAGAGGGGCGGGAAAGACAGATTTCCAGGACTGGAGCATGAGGTGGTAACTAACCAGATGAGGTTACTCATGCCCGCTCCTGAGAGAGGGGAAAGGGGGAAGGGCGGAAAGGGGAAAGGAAGGAGGGAGGGAGGGAATGGGGGGAGGGCGTGTGAGGCATGGCATTGTATGGCAACAGAATGATCGGCCTGAAAGAGGCGGGTCCAGAGGCTATAGTCGAAGGACGGGTTCGTGCAGTGCTCGAGTTGGATTGCTGGCCGAGTCAAGGGAGCAAGCAGCAGCAGGGAGCCACTCTTCTGTTAAACTCACTACCAAACAGGCGATTTTTGAGTCGACTCAAAAATCGCAGCAGGGAGCAACTCTTCTGTTAAACTCACTACCAAACAACATTCACCTCCAAAGAATCCCACCATGGCTGCCTGCCAGCACATCCAGCCGGTGTGCCTCTCTCATCTGCTGCCACACGCTCATCTGTGTTGTTCTCGAAGAAGCTTGCTGGCCGAGTCAAGAGAACGTGCAACAGCAGCGAACAACTCTTCTGATAGACTCACTACCAAACAGACTTCACTGCTGAACAAACTCACCGTGACTGCCTGCCCGCCAGCACGTCTGGCAGGTGTGCCTCTTGAATCGGTGCGACTTTTGAGAATTCTCAAAAGTCGCACCAATATATCTGCCACACAGGCAAGCGGATGTGCCCGGATATGCCAACACCATGGCATGCAGGGTTTGCCCCAAGAGTGAACTCTTGAAGCACACTCACCGTGACTGCCCGCCAGCACGTCTAGCTGGTGTGCCTCTCGAATCTGCTGCCACACAGGCAAGCAGATGTGCGAGGCGATGCTTGCTAACGCCAAGGCAAGTGGGTGCTGCACCCTTACTCTCCAGTACACTCACCGTGACTGCCTGCCAGCACGTCTAGCTGGTGTGCCTCTCGAATCTGCTGCCACACGTCGAACTTTTCAAACTGCAGCACTCGCACCTCAAACCCTGCCGACTCTGCTGCTCTTACCAGATCTGCTTATAGCGGGGAAAAGGGGAGGTGGGTGAGCAGATGGGGGAAAATTAATGAACAGGATGGTCAGTGGTGGCACGAGGGATAAAGCCCATGAGGGGGCGCGAGGAGCAAGGAGGAGAGGATACTGATGGTGATGAGAGTGATGATAGTAATGACGACAGTTTCCTGTAGCAGAGGCGGCAGGTCTTATCCCGAGCAATGATGCTTATCAGTGGGCGCATGGGGAGAGGAGGAGGAGACGATACTGACTATGATAACAGTGCTTTCAGTGATGATGATTACCTCTAAGCCTCTCCTGGCAGGTGGCAGAGGCAGCGCGTCTTATCCCGAGCAATGAAACCCATCAAAGGGCGCATGGAGTGAGGAGGTGACGATACTGATGGTGATGGTGATGCGAGTGATGAGGTGATAATGACGACCGCAAATCCCCTCTAAAAGCTCACCTGGTAGGTGGCAGAGGCGACGCATCTTATCGCGAGCGATAATGCCCATCAAAGGCCGCGTGTGTGGAGGGGAGGCGAAACACATGGTGATGATAGCTATAGCAACAGCTCCCTTCCAAGGCTCACCTGGTAGGTGGCAGAGGCGACGCATCCTATCGCGAGCGATAATGCCCATCAAAGGCCGCGTGTGTGGAGGGGAGGCGAAACACATGGTGATGATAGCTATAGCAACAGCTCCCTTCCAAGGCTCACCTGGTAGGTGGCAGAGGCGACGCATCCTATCGCGAGCGATAATGCCCATCAAAGGCCGCGTGTGTGGAGGGGAGGCGAAACACATGGTGATGATAGCTATAGCAACAGCTCCCTTCTAAGGCTCACCTGGTAGGTGGCAGAGGCGACGCATCCTATCGCGAGCTATGATGCCCATCAAAGGCCGCGTAGAGCGAGGAGGAGGGCGGGTGGGAAGGAGTGATGCTGATGTGGAGAGTGGTGCTGACGTGGCGGACGGCAAGGAGGACAACGTTGAGTGCGGGAGATCGTGTGGTTTGGACTCACTGATGGAGTGAACGGGGGGTGGGGGATGGAAGGGGGAATGGAAAGGGGGATGGAAGATTGGAAGGGGCGTGGAGGGATGCAGTGACCGGCAGGAGAGGGGGGCGCCTCTGCAGCAGCGGGTCGGGGGAGAAGGCCAGAGGCAGACCCAGGAAGGCATGACGGTAGCAGGTGAAGGGGGAGGAGGGAAGGGGGTGGTGGAGAGGATGGTGGTGGAGGGGGGAGTGGATGGTGGATGGGGGTGAATCATGTCTTTCTCACCTGTCCTCTGTGATCCCAGCAAGGGCCAGGGCTTGCCGTCTGAACTCTTGGAATGCAGTGTCCGGCAGGAGAGAGGGGCGCCTCTGCAGCAGCGGGCCGGGGGAGAAGGCCGGGGGGTAGACCCAGGAAGGCGTGACGGTAGCACACGAAGGGGGGGAGTGCAGGTTGGTGGGGGGTTGATAGAGTCAAGATTGAGAGGAAACACGCGTCTCACCTGTCCTCTGTCACTCCAGCAAGGGCCAAGGCGCGGCGTCTGAACTCTTGGTATGACTCGACAGGCAGCAGAGGCGGTCGTCTCTGCAGCAGCGGGCCAGGGGAGAAGGCCGGAGGCAGACCCAGGAAGGCGTGGCGGTAGCAGATGAAGGGGGAGGAGCGGTTGCCAGCTAGCGCTGCCACCTCTGAGACGGTTACCAGAGACGAGAGGCGGCGGCGGTGGCGGCGGCAGTGGTGGTGGTCAGACCGCTTTTCGGCCAGCTCGGGCGTTGGGGGTTTGATGTGCTGTTGCTGAGAAGAGAGGCGGCGGCGCGATTTGATTCTCATTAGATCACGGGGCACGTTCTCGATTTGATTCACCTTTTGTCCCCTAGCGTGGGGGAGAGAGTGGGGAGGGAGGGAGGACAAGGGGGGAAAGAGGAGGGAAAAGAGGAATGGGGAAGAGGGGAGGAAGCGGAATGGAGGGAAAGAGGCGGCAAGTGAAGAATGGGGAAGATCGGAGGAACGAGGGACAAAAGGGGGTTGAGGGAAAGAGCAGGAAAGCAGGGAAATGGGCAAGAGACGAGGAAAGGAAGGGGAGGAAAGGGAGTTGAAGGAAAGAAGGAAAGGTAGAGGGAATGGAAAAGGAGGAAGAGGTTGAAGGGGAAAAACAGCCAAACAAAAAACCTGAAGAAACACCTGAGCAACACAACTGGTAGAGAGTCACACCCGGAGGGGCAGTGGCAGCGAGCAGAGGCCACCAGGGGAAGTGGCGAGTGGAGTAGCAATCAGAAGGAGGCACAGAGATGCCAGGAGCAGTGATGTGCGCAGCAGTGGTGCGTGCAGGTTAATGGGCGTGAAAGGCATGCGTGTAGCAACACACACCTGGTAGAGAGTGACACCCGGAGGGGCAGTAGCAGTGAGCAGCGGCCACCAGGGGAAGTGGCGAGTGGAGTAGCAATCAGAAGGAGGCACAGAGATGCCAGGAGCAGTGATGTGCGCAGCAGTGGTGCGTGCAGGTTAATGGGCGTGAAAGGCATGCGTGTAGCAACACACACCTGGTAGAGAGTGACACCCGGAGGGGCAGTAGCAGTGAGCAGCGGCCACCAGGGGAAGTGGCGAGTGGAGTAGTAGTCAGGGGGCGGCACAGAGATTCCAGCGGCAGTGATGTGTGTGGCATCGCTCCCATGCCCCATTCCAGTAGCATCACTCCCATGTATGTGGGAGGCGTGGGCTAACATGCCCTCGACCCCTCTGGCCAGGCACGGGAAGAGGTGCACTGTGCTGTTGCGCAGGGCGTGGCGCTGCGAGGAGAGGAGCTGAGAGTAGGGGGCGTGGGGGGAAAGAAGGGGACATAGGGGAAGTTTAAGCAAAGGTAAATAGGGTATTAGGCTACGGCACGGGAAGAGATGCGCTGTGCTGTTGCGCAGGGCGTGGCGCTGCGAGGAGAGGAGCTGAGAGTAGGGGGCGTGGGGGGAAAGAAGGGGACATAGGGGAAGTTTAAGCAAAGGTAAATAGGGTATTAGGCTACGGCACGGGAAGAGATGCGCTGTGCTGTTGCGCAGGGCGTGGCGCTGCGAGGAGAGGAGCTGAGAGTAGGGGGCGTGGGGGGAAAGAAGGGGACATAGGGGAAGATTAAGCAAAGGTAAATAGGGTATTAGGCTACGGCAGGGGAAGAGATGCGCTGTGCTGTTGCGCAGGGCGTGGCGCTGCGAGGAGAGGAGCTGAGAGTAGGGGGCGTGGGGGGAAAGAAGGGGACATAGGGGAAGATTAAGCAAAGGTAAATAGGGTATTAGGCTAAGGCAGGGGAAGAGATGCGCTGTGCTGTTGCGCAGGGCGTGGCGCTGCGAGGAGAGGAGCTGAGAGTAGGGGGCGTGGGGGGAAAGAAGGGGACATAGGGGAAGATTAAGCAAAGGTAAATAGGGTATTAGGCTAAGGCACGGGAAGAGATGCGCTGTGCTGTTGCGCAGGGCGTGGCGCTGCGAGGAGAGGAGCTGAGGGGATAAGGGGCGTCGGGAGGGCACAGAGGGACAGGGGAGGAAGGGGAGGGGGATGGAGTAGGCAGGTGTGTGTGAGAGAGTGTGCCTTTGAACCTTCGACCCCCCTGGCCAGGCAGGGAAAGAGGTGTGCTGTGCTGTTGCGCAGGGTATGGAGAGGAGCTGAGAGGAAGGAGAGTAGAAAGAAAGACAGGGGGGGAGCAATCCGGTTACAGCAGCCCTCAATGTAAAACAAGGAAAAAGATGTGCTTTGAGAGCCCTCACACTCCCTCACTCACTCACTCACTCGCTCGCTCCCTCCCCCACTCAGTTCCTCAGTGATTCCAGCAATCACCCACATGTGACAAAGGTATGACGTGGTGCAGAAAATGCCAAGGATTGCCGGCCGTCAGCGGCATGATGACAGCTGTAGCGTCCTCGATCCACCCGCTGTGCCCCCTCTTGCCACGTGGCAGCTTGTCACTGGAGTAGGTGACTGGGAAGGTAAAACAGCCTGCCTCGTTGCATAGGGGTAAACCATCGCTATTGGCCTGCCAGTAGTTGACAGGAGAGAGGAGGGACAAGAAAAGATGGAAACACAGGGAGTGAGGGGCATGGGTGCGTGACTGGGAAGGCGAAACAGCCTGCCTCGTTGCATAGGGGTAAACCATCGCCATCGCCCTGCCAGTGCCGGAAGGGGAAGAAAGAGAGGGAGAATGGGGACGGAAGAGAGTGGGAGGGTAGAAGGGACGGTGAAGCAGCCTGCGGCCTGCCTCGTTGCTCAAGGGTAAAGGGTAAGCCGTCCCCATCGCCCTGCCAGTGGGGGAAAGAAAGGAGAATGAAAAGTGGGGAGAGACGGGTTCGGTTGACTGAACGCGGGGGGGAGAGGGGGTGCGGTGCGGGTAAGGGAGGAACAAGGAGAAAGAGGATATATTGAAAAAAAGGTGAAAGAGGCTGCCTCGTTGTATAAGCATAAAGCCAATTTGGTGTTCTCGCACTAACTAATAATGATAATAAGCACCCACGAACTTACCAGCACGTCTGCTCCTCCGCAGCTCATGGTATAGTGCAATTTCCATCACCTGAACGCGTTATAAGCAGTCCCTACACACCGGAACATCCTCTAATCTGTGCCGTGCAAGGTCACTCCTCCCTTGAACCAAGCGTGTATGCACACGTTCTCCAGCTCGTAGGCTCCTACCATCTTCTGTACGCGTTATAATCAGTCCCCACTCACCGGCACATCCTCTACCCCGTGCAAGGTCACTCCTCCCTTGAATCGAGCGTGTATGCACACGTTTTCAAGCTCGTATGCTCCTCCCCCTTCCACTCGCCTCACAGCGGATCGTTGTGGCACCTGCTGCTTGCTGTAGTGTGTGGCTTCAGAAACTGGGAGGAGGGAAAGGGGAAAAACAGGGGAGTTTGGGAAGAATAGGAGGGTCATAGTGCATCGCTCCTCCCCCTTCCACTTGCCTCACGGCGGATCGCTGCGGCACCTGCTGCTTACTGTAGTGCGTGGCGTGAGAAACTGGGAGAGTGTGGAAGAAGCGATGCGGGGAGCATAGGGGGTCTCGTGACAATGACAAGGAATGGACCGTTCTCCAGCTCGTTGGCTCCTCCTCCTTCCTTTTGCTTCATGGAGGATCGCTGTGGCACCTGCTGCTTGCTGTAGTGCGTTGCGTCAGAAAGTGGGAGGGGGAAAAAGAGGGAAAAAGGGGTGGGGGAGGGAGGGGGGAATGGGGGGAGAAAGGGGGGACAAAAAGGGGGGAAACATATGGGGCCACAGAAAGGGGGCGTGAAAAGGGGGAGAGAACAGGGGGAGAGGGGGGAAGGAGACGAGGGAGGATGAGGGGCTGGGGAAACGGGGGAAGCAGTGGATATCTGGGTGCGAATCTCCGCCTTGAGAATCCCGCAAAGCACTAACGGAGACATGCAGCGCGCTTACGCAGGGTTCTCATTCCGCGATGCCGCACTCGCAGAAGCGGCGTTTCTTGAGCTGGAGCTGACGTGGCGTCCCTCGAGTCCACGTCAGCGTGGGTCTCGAAGTAGGCCGCGGAAGGGATTGGCCGAGGTAATCGTCATTCCGGCCACAGACAAGGCCAGCTGTGGACGCGTGAGAGGCTGACACGTGGCAGGAGAGCAGCAGGAGGCATACCAGTCCACGTGTACCCGTCCAGGAGGACCGTCCGATCATCGCGGCGGAGACGAGTGGAGATTAATCGCCTAATGTAGCAAGCGTACTAGAGACAAGACGACGCGTGAAGAAAGGGGCAACGACGAGGAGTTCCGCGTTCTAGAGACAAGGCAACCTCGAGGTATTCGCAAGCTACCATATATCCGTTCATGTCGCTGGAACCGTTTTGAGTCCACTCAAAAACCGTGGGCTACCATATATTCGTTTATGTCGCCTTTTAAGACTCTGTGACTCTCGACGAAATCTCTAGCGGCGATGGCCTTTGCCAGGATCTACGGTCCACACGGTCAGCGATGCTTCTTGGCGATCATACCGCAACGTCGATAAAACCGGGAGAGACGGCGGTAATACCGGAGTCCTTTTCGCCGTGACCGACGGGGATTGTCTTCCTTCCCGCCAAAACAAAAAAAGGGCAGTGGCTGACGCGGCGCTAACACGGGGCAATACAGGTTATTTCGCCTTCACGGGATTAGTTGGAGTTCTCGAAGCGCGGCGATTCCTGTGCTTCAGTTCAGCCGAGAGTGCGGTGAAGCGGAATTCAGGGAACTGTTCTGGTTCTGTGCTCAGCTGAGGATATGAACAGTAATCCGCAATAGTATACGCGGTTGTTGGTGACGCGATAGCAGCAGGATTCTCGCATCGTAAGCCCTTTCTATACAGAAACAAAAAATGAGCTAAATTAGTGTAAGGCTTATCCGCTGCATTTCAATTAGCAGCATGAGTCACTAGATCTGTGTAAAGCTGGTATCTTTTGTTACACGTCCTATTGGTTGGTTACTCAAAGCGAATTTCCATCAATTCTCTTGCAGCCATTGGTGTCCTGTTTGAGGGATGGAGCAAACGGTACGAAGTAGGAAGACAAATTAGGCGAATGACTAATATAATATCTTCCGCAAGAAAACAGCACCAACACGACCACAAAAGGCAACAAAACAAAACAGCACCTGCTTCAATTTCCATGGCAGTCTCCTTACCTAGAATTTCATCTGCCGTGATTCTGAGGGCGGCGTCTTTTGACAGCATGCGCATCACCAGATCCTTCGCTTCGTCTGACACACTCTCCCACACGCCCTCCCTCTCCATCTCCTCCTCCACACTCTTCTCCAAAATCGCCCGAAACACCCCCTCGTCAGAGTCACCCCAAAAGGGAAGAACCCCCGACAAAAGGACGAACAGGATCACTCCGGCCGCCCAGATGTCGGATTCTGGACCGTAGGATTCGTGGAGAACTTCTGGGGCAATGTAGAATGGCGAGCCTACGATCTCAGAAAAACGTTCACCTGGTTTTGGGAGGGGAGAGGGGGATAAAAGTTCTGGGTTTTGGGGTTTGCGGGGAGAAGTGATGTAGAGTCGTCGTGAGCCTAAAATCTCAGAAAAAACGCTCGCCTGGATTTTGAGGGGGTGAGAGAGGGGAGGGGAGGGTTTTAAGCTTCCAATGTATAGGGGGAAAGTGATGTAGAATGACAAGAGGAGAAAATGGTCACAGAAAAGTTTTCATCTGGGTTTGAGGAGGTGAGAGGGGCGGGGGGGGAGCGGAGGGGGGAATTAGGGTTTGCATGTGGTGCATGTTGCCACACAGCCTGAATAAACGCACAACGAGTCATACAGCATCCCAATGCAAGATGTTCTGGGCGCACGATCCCCAAACCATGCACAGCACCACTCTCAAAACCTCAACAACCCATTGCACCCACCTGGATTGAAGAACACCGAAACACCATAGTCAATGACTGCAACATCCACGTCATCATCCTCCCTCCTTAGAAGCACATTCTCCGGCTTCACATCCCGGTGCATGATGCCCAGGGCGTGCAGGTCCCTCAGCAGCCCCACCAGCCGCCCCACCACTGCTGCTGCCTCTGCTTCACTGTATGCTCCCCGCTGCTGCACCCTCTGCCACAGGTCCCCGCCCTGACACAAATCCATAACCAGATGCACGTGCTGCAGGGGGTGGGGGGGAGGGGAGAGGGGGACGGAGAGAAGGGTATAAGAGAGTGTGAGCATGATGCCCAGGGCGTGCAGGTCCCTCAGCAACCCCACCAGCCGCCCCACCACTGCTGCCGCCTCTCTCTCCCCATACGCCCCCCCCTGCTGCACTCGCTGCCACAAGTCCCCTCCTTGACACAAATCCATCACCAGATGCACGTGCTGCAGGGGGTATGGCAGGCATGGGAGGGCGAGAGGGGAGAGAAGACAAGGAGGAGGGGCGCAGAGGAGATGAGAGGAGAGGAAAGAGAAAAGGGTATAAGAGAGTGTGAGCATGCCCTGGGCGTGCAAGTCCTTCAGCAGCCCCACCAGCCGCTCCACCACTGCTGCTGCCTCCCTCTTTCCATACGCCCCCCCCTGCTGCACGCGTTGCCACAAGTCCCCCCCCGAGATGGCATGCCATCTCACCTCCGCATCTTCAAACACCCCCTGAAGCTGCACCAAGCACAGACAGACGCCCTCTCATCGCCTCCAACACATCTACATCCCTCTTCATGTTTCCCACTCCCGCACATGTTCACCTTACCCTCCCCTCGTCCCACCTCCACATCTCACCTCGGCATCTCACCTCTTCGTCTTCAAACAATGCCTGCAGCTGCACCGAGCAGGGATACCCTCTCACTGCCTGCACCTCCCTCCTCATATTCCCTGGCTCCTCACATTCTCGCCTAACCCTCCCACTGTTCCTCTCTCACCTCCTCATTTTCAAACACTGCCTGCAGCAGCACCGAGCAGGGGTGCCCTCTCACCGCCTCCAACACCTCTCCACCTCTTTCCTCACTTCCTGTGCTTGCTTCCACTTCTCACCTCCTCACCTGCTCCCCCATCCCCCCACCCATCTCACCTCCTTCTCTTCAAACACCCGCTGCAGCTGCACCGAGCAGGGATGCCTTCTCATCATCGCTTCCACCACCTTCACCTACCTCCGCACACCCTCACTTGCTTACCCTCCCCCATTCCCCCCATCCCCCCACCTATCTCACCTCCTCATCTTCAAACACCCGCTGCAGCTGCACCGAGCAGGGATGCCTTCTCATCATCGCTTCCACCACCTTCACCTCCCTCCGCACACCCTCACTTGCTTACCCTCCCCCATTCCCCCCATCCCCCCACCTATCTCACCTCCTCATCTTCAAACACCCGCTGCAGCTGCACCGAGCAGGGATGCCTTCTCATCATCGCTTCCAACACCTCCACCTCCCTCCGCACACCCTCACTTGCTTACCCTCCCCCATTCCCCCCATCCCCCCACCTATCTCACCTCCTCATCTTCAAACACCCGCTGCAGCTGCACCGAGCAGGGATGCCTTCTCATCATCGCTTCCACCACCTTCACCTCCCTCCGCACACCCTCACTTGCTTACCCTCCCCCATTCCCCCCATCCCCCCGCCTATCTCACCTCCTCATCTTCAAACACCCCCTGCAGCTGCACCGAGCAGGGATGCCCTCTCACCGCTTCCAACACCTCCACCTCCCTCCGCACGTCTTCCGCCTCCTCCTCGCTCTGCCATGCACAGAATCACACAAAGAGTGGACAGATGCACTCAGTATTGTGCATATCCTAGGTGCCTTGAAATCTCAAGTGCTACACCTCCCTCCGCACGTCTTCCGCCTCCTCCTCGCTCTGCCATGCACAGAATCACACAAAGAATGGACAGATGCACTCGGTATTGTGCATATCCTAGGTGCCTTGAAATCTCAAGTGCTACACCTCCCTCCTCACGTCGTCCGCCTCCTCCTCGCTCTGCCATGCACAGAATCACACAAAGAGTGGACAGATGCACTCAGTATTGTGCATATCCTAGGTGCCTTGAAATCTCAAGTGCTACACCTCCCTCCGCACGTCTTCCGCCTCCTCCTCGCTCTGCCATGCACAGAATCACACAAAGAGTGGACAGATGCACTCAGTATTGTGCATATCCTAGGTGCCTTGAAATCTCAAGTGCTACACCTCCCTCCGCACGTCGTCCGCCTCCTCCTCGCTCTGCCATGCACAGAATCACACAAAGAATGGACAGATGCACTCAGTATTGTGCATATCCTAGGTGCCTTGAAATCTCAAGTGCTACACCTCCCTCCGCACGTCGTCCGCCTCCTCCTCGCTCTGCCATGCACAGAATCACACAAAGAATGGACAGATGCACTCAGTATTGTGCATATCCTAGGTGCCTTGAAATCTCAAGTGCTACACCTCCCTCCGCACGTCGTCCGCCTCCTCCTCGCTCTGCCATGCACAGAATCACACAAAGAATGGACAGATGCACTCAGTATTGTGCATATCCTAGGTGCCTTGAAATCTCAAGTGCTACACCTCCCTCCGCACGTCGTCCGCCTCCTCCTTGCTCTGCCATGCACAGAATCACACAAAGAATGGACAGATGCACTCAGTATTGTGCATATCCTAGGTGCCTTGAAATCTCAAGTGCTACACCTCCCTCCGCACGTCGTCCGCCTCCTCCTCGCTCTGCCATGCACAGAATCACACAAAGAATGGACAGATGCACTCAGTATTGTGCATATCCTAGGTGCCTTGAAATCTCAAGTGCTACACCTCCCTCCGCACGTCGTCCGCCTCCTCCTCGCTCTGCCATGCACAGAATCACACAAAGAATGGACAGATGCACTCAGTATTGTGCATATCCTAGGTGCCTTGAAATCTCAAGTGCTACACCTCCCTCCTCACGTCTTCTGCCTCCTCCTCGCTCTGCCATGCACAAAATCACAAAAAGAAGGAAGAATGAGCAGCAGGCACACTCAAGGTTTAAGATGTCGCAAAACACAAAACTTATTGCAAGAATGAAGAATATTCTGAGGCGCCTCAAAATGGGCAGCAGGCACACTCGATGCCTGAGATGTCGCAAAACTCATAAATCAAAACTTATTGCGAGAACGAGGATGGTGTCGAGTTTTGCGAGTTGTTGCAAGAATGAATGGCCACACTGCACTGCAAGCCAAGCCACGTATATGGTGTTTCAGGATAGCTTCAGCCCACGTTATCAGGACCTCCCTTCCCCCTTCCTTCCCATCCCTTCCCCCCACCTCAAACCCCTTCTCTCCCTCCTCACAACTGTATTCCTCCTTTGGACATGCGTTTTTCGTGCAAGCCATTCGTTGCTCATCAAATGCGCGCACCCTCTGCTGGTTTGAACCCACAAGATTCACTTTTGAGAATTCTCAAAACTGGTGGTTTGAACCTACAAAATACCCCCACCTCCCTTCCCCCGAACCCCCAGCCACATCACACCATGACATACCTGTATTCTTCCCTTGGGGATCGTTTTGCACGAATAAACTCCGTTGCTCATCCGATGCTCACACTGCCTGATGCTCACACTGCCTGATGCTCACACTGCCTGATGCTCACACTGCCCGATGCTGCCCAATCGGCCCCTGAAAATTCCCACCTCCCATCCCCTGTCCTCCCTACCCCACGGCACACCTCTTACCTGCAGTCTTTTCTTGGGAATCGTTTTGCACACGAAAACTTCGTTGCTCCTCCGATGCACACACTGCCTGATGCTGCCTGATCGCCCCCTCCCTATCTCCAACCCTTCCCCTCCCTCATCATACCTGTATTTTCCCCTTGGGAATCGTTTTATACACGCGAACACTTCATTGCTCCTCCGATGCACACACTGCCTGATGCTGCCTGATCGCCCCCTCCCTATCTCCAACCCTTCCTCTCCCTCATCATACCTGTATTTTCCCCTTGGGAATCGTTTTATACACGCGAACACTTCGTTGCTCCTCCGATGCACACACTGCCTGATGCTGCCTGATCGCCCCCTCCCTATCTCCAACCCTTCCCCTCCCTCATCATACCTGTATTTTCCCCTTGGGAATCGTTTTATACACGCGAACACTTCGTTGCTCCTCCGATGCACACACTGCCTGATGCTGCCTGATCGCCCCCTCCCTATCTCCAACCCTTCCCCTCCCTCATCATACCTGTATTTTCCCCTTGGGAATCGTTTTATACACGCGAACACTTCGTTGCTCCTCCGATGCACACACTGCCTGATGCTGCCTGATCGCCCCCTCCCTATCTCCAACCCTTCCCCTCCCTCATCATACCTGTATTTTCCCCTTGGGAATCGTTTTATACACGCGAACACTTCGTTGCTCCTCCGATGCACACACTGCCTGATTCTGCCTGATCGCCCCCTCCCTATCTCCAACCCTTCCCCTCCCTCATCATACCTGTATTTTCCCCTTGGGAATCGTTTTATACACGCGAACACTTCGTTGCTCCTCCGATGCACACACTGCCTGATGCTGCCTGATCGCCCCCTCCCTATCTCCAACCCTTCCCCTCCCTCATCATACCTGTATTTTCCCCTTGGGAATCGTTTTATACACGCGAACACTTCGTTGCTCCTCCGATGCACACACTGCCTGATGCTGCCTGATCGCCCCCTCCCTATCTCCAACCCTTCCCCTCCCTCATCATACCTGTATTTTCCCCTTGGGAATCGTTTTATACACGCGAACACTTCGTTGCTCCTCCGATGCACACACTGCCTGATGCTGCCTGATCGCCCCCTCCCTATCTCCAACCCTTCCCCTCCCTCATCATACCTGTATTTTCCCCTTGGGAATCGTTTTATACACGCGAACACTTCGTTGCTCCTCCGATGCACACACTGCCTGATTCTGCCTGATCGCCCCCTCCCTATCTCCAACCCTTCCCCTCCCTCATCATACCTGTATTTTCCCCTTGGGAATCGTTTTATACACGCGAACACTTCGTTGCTCCTCCGATGCACACACTGCCTGATGCTGCCTGATCGCCCCCTCCCTCATCATACCTGTATTTTCCCCTTGGGAATCGTTTTATACACGCGAACACTTCGTTGCTCCTCCGATGCACACACTGCCTGATGCTGCCTGATCGCCCCCTCCCTATCTCCAACCCTTCCCCTCCCTCATCATACCTGTATTTTCCCCTTGGGAATCGTTTTATACACGCGAACACTTCGTTGCTCCTCCGATGCACACACTGCCCGATGCTGCCCGATCGTCCCTTCCCTATCTCTCCGCCTCCCTTTCCCCGTCCCCCCTGCCTCATCACACCACTACATACCTGTATTTTCCCCTTGGGAATCGTTTTGCACGCAAAAACTTCATTGCTCCTCCGATGCACACACTGCCTGATGCTGCCCGATCGGCCCCTCCCTATCTCCTCCGTACTCAGTAAAAACTGCTCCGTTATATCCTCAAAGGGCCGCCCCAGCACGCTCAAACCACCACCAGAAGCACCAGCACCAGCTGCAGCAAGTGTTGTTGCCCCAGCTCCTTCTGCTCTTCCTACTCCTCCCCCTGTTCCACCCCTTCCCCCCCTTGCTCCCCCCATTCCCCCCCCTTTCCCTGCAGAAGGACGGAGGGGCGATCCCCCCCGTCCTGCTCTCCCCATTCCCCCAACTCCGCCCATTCCCCCAACTCCCCCCGTCGCCCTTTCCCCCCAGCTCCCCCCAGCATGGCTCGGGGAAACGGGGGGATTGGGGGAGGATGAAGGGTGAGCGGAGCGGGGGGAGTGAGGGAGAGGCTTTGGCGGGGAGTGCGAGTGAGAAAGAGAGTGAGGATGGGGCTTGGGAGAAGAAACGGAGTGAGGGTGGGAATGAGAGCGGGACTTGGGAGAAGAAACGGAGTGAGGGTTGGAGTGCGAGTGGGACTTGGGAGAAGAAACGGAGTGAGTGTGGGGATGAGGGTGGGGTTTGGGAGGGGAAGGCGAGTGAGAGTGGGAGCGAGAGTGGCGGTGAGGGGGAGGAGAAGAGGAGTGTTGTTGGGTCGGTTGAATCCCACCCCCTGGACGAGCTGGGGAGTGGGGGGGCGGCAAACGAGCACCAGTGTTACCACCAGTGTGGTAACCACCACTAGCACCACCAGAGGCACCACCAACAGCAGCAAAACCACCAGCACCAGGATTACCTGCACCAGAACTACCTGTACCAGCACCAAAACCGGGATCAAAACCTGCAACAGCAGAGTATCCCGCAAACGCGCCACCTATCCCAGCAGCAGCACTAGCAGACATTGTTCTCTTATGCCGTGACATGCCTTGAGGTGCCGCCCCTCCCCCACCTGCTCCGACTCCCCCTGCTACTCCCCCCCTTCCTCTCCCTCCTCCCCCTCCCCATCCCCCCATTTCTCCCCCTCCTCCTCCTCTCCCTCCTCCCACGTGACTAGAATGAGCGTGAAGTTTGGAGGGGCTAGGGCTGGTATAACTCTTAGTGCTTATAATGGGTTGCCCTCCCAATCCTTTTGCACTGCCACCAGCACCCGCAGCAGGAGCAGCTCTCGCCGAGCCTGCAGGTTTGGCCGGGGCGGTGGAGGATCGGAACAGCTCCTGCTGGTCGATTTCCTCCTCTGTCTCGTATTGCTGCTCCTGCCACGATCCCTGCTGCCACCCCTGCCCCTGCCTCTGCCCCTGCCCCTGATGCTGCTGCTGTTGCTGCTGTTGGTTGTACCGTTGCTGCTGCTGCCACTGCTGCTGCTGCTGCTGCTGCTGCTGCTGCTGCTGCTGCTGCTGCTGCTGCTGCTGCTGCTGCTGCTGCTGCTGCTGCTGCTGCTGCTGCTGCTGCTGCTGCTGCTGCTGCTGCTGCTGCTGCTGCTGCTGCTGCTGCTGCTGCTGCTGTTGCGGTTGCTGCTGCTGTACAAACCCCATGGGTTGTTGTGGGGAGAACATCTGCTGCCCCAGGTCTGAAGGAAAGCCGCCCACTTCCGCCATTCCCATGGAATGACTTCTCCTGTGACCCACGCGCCCCTGATGCCCCTGCTGCTGCTGCTGCTGCTGCTGCGGCGGCGACTGCCATTGCTGCTGGTGGTGAGGTTGCTGCTGCTGCTGCCCCTGCTGCCCCTGCCCCTGCGGTATCTGCTGACCCTGCACGCTCGCCTGCTTCTCCCGCTCCTTCTGCATTGCCTGCTCATTCTGCTGGTGCCGCCGCTTCAGCATCAGCTGATGCTCACTCAACTGCTGCTGCTGCTGCTGCTGCTGCGTCTGTTGACCCATATCGTCCATCCTCACGCCTGCTACTCCCACTCCTTCCCCAATTCCTTCTCCTCCTGAGTTTGGAACCTTAAAGCCTGCGTTAGACGCACCCCATTGCACAGGGACAGGCGAAACAGGAGCAAGGGGAACGTCATCATCATCCCCCTCTTCCCCCGGAAGCACTCTCCCATCCTCCACTTCTGCTCCCTCCTCTCCTCCCTCCTCCTCACCCACCCTCTCCTCCACTACTCCATCTCCCATCTTGCCATTTCCTTCCCCTTCACCTCTTGCTCCCCCTAATTCCTCCCTTCCTCCGCCCCTTCCCCCAACCCAGCCCCTGCCTCCGCCTCTTCCCCCTCCCCCAACCAAGCCTGTTTCCCCCACGAACCCGCCTCTCCCCATCTGCCCCGTGCTAGGTCTCCGCATCCGCCCCCCCGGCCCCTGCCCCTGCCCCTGCCCCTGCCCCTGCCCCTGCCCCTGCCCCTGCCCCTGCCCCTGCCCCTGCCCCTGCCCCTGCCCCTGCCCCTGCCCCTGCCCTTGCGCCTGCCCCTGCGCCTGCTCCGCCTGATAGCTTCCCCCCGCCCACCCATCCCCGCCACCCCCCCCAGAGAACCCCCAGCCCCCTCCCCCAGGCCCCTGCAAGCTCTGACTGCGCCTGTGACCCTGCCCCCCGCCCCCCCCCCCTGCGCCTCGTCCCCCTCCGCCTCCGCCTCCCCTTCCGCCTCCCCCAGAGAATCCGCCCCCAAGGCTTCCGCCGTGCAGGGGGGAAAGGAGGGCGGATGCTTGGCTTGAAGCTTGATTCCCATTTCCGTACTTCCCGGAATTGCCATCCTGGTGTTGCTGCAAGAAAATCTCGTTACTATCCTCCTCGTTATCGTCCCCATGCTCACGGATTTGCCCAAGGGGGGATTGTGCGCCCCTTTCCCTCCCGCTGCCCTGCCCTCGCGCTGCTCCCCCCCGCCCCAACCCTCCCCCGCCTAAACCCCCGCCCACAGACCCTCCCCCAATCCCCTTGCGCGCATTCCCCCCCAATGCATCACTTCCCCCATCTCCTCCGGGGCCACTGCCATAGCTACTGTTACTGTAACTATTGTTACCATAACTAGTGTTACTACTTGAAAGGTCCATAGACCGATGCCTCAGAGGATGGGTGGGGATCGGTTTGGAAGGGTCTGAGAAGGAGGAGGGGACTGGCGCGGAGATCCGTCCTCCGTCAAGAGAGGCGCGCCTTACCCCCTCTTCAAGGGGAGCGCCCCTTCCGCCGCCGTCAAGGGAGGCGCGCCTTACCCCCCCTGCCGACGATAACATTCTCTGCCCGCCTGCAGGCCCGCTCCCCCTCCCCCCAACAGTTCCCCCAGCCCCCATTCCGCCCGCTTTCCCGCCCCCACCTCCCCCTCCGCCTCCCCACGCTCCTGTTCCGCCTCCCCCTTCCCCGTCCGCCCCTTCCCCCGATCTGTTCCCCCCTTCCCCTCCGCGGAAGTCCATTTCCTGCAAGAACTGCCCGGAGTCCGCGGGGAAGGCGGACTTGGTGCGCCGATGGCGCGAGGGCTTCGCGACAGGCACGGCAACCATAGCTGCTAAGTCCTCCGGCGGCAAATCCGCGTCGTCCTCTCTCCTCAGAATATTAACGGACGGTCCTGAAAACATCTCCCACACCCGCCCGCCAGATTTTATGAACTTAGGCTTAAACCGAGGGTCAATACTGTCTAAATTCGCCCCCTTGCCTTGCGCCTCCTGCCCTCCGCCGCTTGGACCTCTGGTTTCCCCCCCCACTCCGCCTTTCCCCCTCGGACCTTCCCCTGGGCCGCTAACTCCTCCGCCCGCGCCTCCCCCTCTTCCGCGCCCGTCCATATCGCCCCCGACTCTCCCCTGCGCTCCCGCCTCCCCTCTCCCCTCTGGCGCAGGCGGATGCGCGCCTCTCCCCGCTCCCGCGGGGCCTGGCGGAAACTGTCCCGCTGCTCCCATCTGCGCGAGAAAATCAGGCGCAATGGCCCCCATACCCATAGCCCCCATTCCCATGGATCGCGATCGGCGGTGGTTACCACCGTGGTTACTCGCGACACCCATGTGGTTACCCGCGAGGTTACCAGCGACGCTCGGGTGGTTACCAGGGAACGCGATAACGGGGGCGACGGGAACGTTGTCGCCATGGTCCCACGGAAGCTCTTCCGCTTGCTCGGACTGCTGCTGCTGCTGCTGCTGCTGTTGGGGGAACTGCGGAGACATTTGTGGCGGATATTGCGGGAATTGCGGCGACAGAGGTGGTTGCTGGTAAGGACCCGGATTCTGCTGGGTCTGCGACTGGTGCTGGAACTGCGACTGTTGCTGCTGCGGCGCGTACTCGTTCCATGTGTTGCGGGTCTCGTGCTGGCTTGCCGGCCTTCGTTGCACGTGATGATGATTCATGGTAGCGAGAATTGTCGGCCTCTGAGGCTGCTCAGGACAGGATTAATCCGCAGTGTTAGAGGCAGTTTTCTAGGTGCCTAAAGAATATATTACTAGTGCAAACAGAGAGCCGCGCAAGGAACGGTGTGACGTAACAGGGGTAATATCTTTCTTCAAGGCGACTCAGTAATAACAATGATACGACGTACCATGATTGCGACGTCACGCTCGACCATCACATGGGATAAGAGATCGACGACTAGCGGGTTAGAACCGTTAAGAGTTTTGACGCCTAGCCGTCCGTCACCTTGCACTGAGCCTTCACGGCTTCAGTCTATATTGCCTTCGTCAATCGGGAACGTTTCATTAGAAAGGGTCATAAGAATGTATCACTAAAACGTGTCTTAAAAACGCGTCGGTAAAATGTGTCAGTTAACAGTGCCTTAGTGTCAGCTAATGGATCATTCTAAACGCAGCTTCAGACCTAAAGCAGCAGCAACTTCCAGGTGTCCAGATAAATAGGTGAAACGCCTACGAAAAAATACGCTGGCGGTTGTAGGTCGGAGCGGATCAAAGCTGCTCGTCTCTATAAGCCATAAGTGCATGAGCAACTGCACCCTCTGGAAAGGAACGAACGTGAAATACTCAGCCACCACCACTCACACCCTCTGAAAAGGGACGAACGGCCATTCACCCTCAATTGCTGAAATGCAGGCTCCAAGCAATGCCCGAACCTCCTCAACCAAAGCCCAGCCATACAGAAATGCAAGTGGTGGAACGGAGTGAAGTGAAGTGAACCCAACAACTGAGGAAAAGGCCAGAAAAGCAGGCCTGAGGCCATGTGTGTAACAAAACTAGGGATATTGCACCCAACCCAACTGAACCGAACGTTCACTAGTCGGGGGCGTTTGAAAGTTTGGAATGAACCAGAAGCTGGAAACGCGGTAGAGTGGGGGTACGATGGGCCAGTGGGAGTGTCGCCAGTAGATTGCGGCCGTCAAGAGTGTCGTTCGTGCATTGATCGTTGGGCAATTGGGAGTACCGACTGTAGATTGGCCCCTCGAAAGTGTCGCATCGCAGGTCGTTCTTGCCCTTGCATTGATTGGGCCACGGAGGTGTCCGTGGTGAAGCCCAGCCATACACTCAGCTGCAAGTTTGGCGGGAAAATGGAGCCACACCTGATCCGTTAAAAGACTTTGATTAAATTCAAAAGCAACGCATTCGACTAACCACCAGGACTGACGTCAATAGAATTGACAACACCCTTTCAGCCAGCCTTCACTTGGCAACAGAATTGTGGATTTAACATAGGCCACTAAGGACAAGCGTCAAAAAAATATTTATTAATTTTCATCATCGTCATCATCATCACTACCGTATGCTCCAAGCCCTAAGCCGACACCCAAAGATCCATGATCCTTTCTCTCATCCTCATCCCCAGATTTTCTAACATTCTCTTGCAACTTGGTCGCCTCTCCCTCTTGGCTACCACGCTTTCCTTGATCACCAGTACCAGAAACTTCTTCTACACCACTCCGTGCGCCATCCAGATCATTAGAAACAACTTTCGCGGAATCAACTTTAGCTCTAAAATCGGCCGCTTTATCTGGAGCCCCTCCGGACTTGGCTTTTGGTTTCGCCTTGAGCTGAACCTTCACGCCCAGACGAGGCATGAGTGGGAGATCCGGCTCCTTTCGTTTCCGAATAGCAGCCACGATGGAAGAACCAGAAGAGCCGGGAGCACCAGTTGCTTGTGCTGTGGCCGACTCAGGAGTGGCATGAGTGGAATGGGAATCAACGGTGACTGTTCGGCTCAAGAGTGCGGCCTGGAGGATAGTCCACAATGGGGTGTGATAAAAAGGAGAAAATGTGACATTTCAATCACAGGGAGGCGAAGGCCATATTTGTATGCATGGGAAGACACATGGGAGATGCTATTAGGGGTAAATGAGCAGTGCACTCGATCAGACCATTTTCTAGTTGACTCAATGACAAGGATAGCACAGAGGAAAGACACTCTTGGGGAAGAACAGAAGAAACACACACTCGGCCATGCAGATGAAAACTGGCACTAAGAGTCTAGTTTTGAGTCTGAAACCTGGCGCCTCAAAACTAGACAAGGATAGCACAGAGGAAAGACACTCTTGGGGGAGAACAGAAGAACACACACTCGGCCATGCAGATGAAATCTGGCGTTAAGAGTACGAGCGTGAGGCACACACCTGAAACTCTGACAGTGCACGCTTGTCTTCGTCGTCCTTCTCCTTTTCGTCCTCCCTCTTCTTCTGCAAGCCACAAAAAATATCATTTTCAGGTCAAATTGGTAGTGCAGTTTCATTTGCACAGGTTGCATGTGCTTCTCCTTCTCAATCTCCCCACTGCAGGCCTTCTGACAGTCGCTTTATGAATTCCCATGTAGCTGTGGAGTTACCTCCAATACAGCTGTGGTGTGGTGTGGTGTTGCACTGACTGACCTGCGCCAACGAACTCACGAATCTGCGAGACAGCACCTATCTGCTGCTCTGCTCTGCGGTTCTGATGGGTTCGATTGAATCACTGACTGACCTATTCTGCGGTTCTGATGGGTTCGATTGAATCACTGACTGACCTATTCTGCAGTTCTGATGGGTTCGATTGAATCACTGACTGACCTATTCTGCGGTCTGATGGGTTCAATTGAATCACTGACTGACCTACACTGCGGTTCTCACAGGTTCAATTAAATCTGACTGACCTACTCTGCGGTTCTGATGGGTTCAAGTGAGTCACAGACTGACCTGCTCCACGGCCTAGAGAAACTCCAGCTCGGCTTCATCCAATGCCCTTGGTGGGCCTGATGGGGTCACACACACACAGCACCTAGGGGCTGCTCTTCTGTGCGGTTCTGATAGGTTCAGTGCGGTTCAAATGTGTTAATGACTGACCTGCTCCACGGCTTCAAGAAACTCCAGCTCGTCCTCATCCAATGCCCTGGGTGGGCCTGATGGGGTGAGACACGGCATTACAGAGCACAGCACCGCACACCACCATGCAGCACAGCACAGAAGAGCACAGCACCACACCACCCCATTGCACGGCGCAGCACAATCCAACAGAAGAAAGCGCACCAACATAGCACAGTCAAATTTCGAAACGAAGCAAGAATGTGAGAAATGAAGCCAAATGAGGAAACCAGCAGTCTTCAATTTCATGTAAGCAATTAAGCAAATGGGCATGCATGATTGCTACGGTTTGGTTACGTTGGCGTAGTAATACAGACTTGTCGAACCCTGGTTACGAATCCCCCAGAGAAGTTTGGCTTACGGTTTTTGAATTTCTCCTTGTGCTCCGCTTCTTTCTTCTCCTTCTGCTCTTTCAAAATCTGGAGAGAGATAAAAAAAAAACAAAAACAAAACAAAACAAAACAAAACACCAAACGAACAAATCGACCAACAAAACAACAAACAAGAACACAAAACAACCACAAACGAACAAACAAATCTTGAAGCCGGCTTGCCAAACAATCGCAACAGATGTAATGCTTGCAGCAAGAACGATCATCGGGCCTGCCACGACAGCAGCATTGCCATACCACGTACATACATTGGCTTGTCTACCTACCCAAACCCATCCTACACTTCTAGAACCATCAACGACCGTGTGGTTACCATACATTGCATCCTTGCAACCGTTACAGTTTCATCACCACACTTCATACAGGGGCTTGTCCACCGTTACAGTGCCATCCTTTCCTTAGAGTGTCATTCATACATCTCGTTACAGTGCCATCGCCATACCTCATACAACGGCTTGTCCACCGTTACAGTGCCATCTTCCACCCTCTCCCCCCTCAGCCGTTTGTTCTCCTCTAACTGCACATTGTGAAAGAGGCAGGGTGGGACGAAATAGGGAGTGTGGTGCAACGGGGTGTGACACAATGCTTCAGTGACACGAACGGGGGTGAGATACAATGGGGATGTGACAAAAAGGGGAGTGTGACACACCAGGGGGTGCAACAAAAGAGCGGCAGGGAAATTGAGAGAGTGAGAAGGGGGGCGGGGAGGAAAAGAAGGGCGGGAATTGAGAGTGGAAAGAGAATGGAGAAGTAACGGAGGTGAAATCTTGCGGACATCTCCTATAATGCCTCTCAAAAATTCATCGGCTTTTGAGTCGACTCAAAAGTCATATCGTTTAAAGACTCTCAAAAAGTCATCGGCTGGTGGATAAGAACATAGTGTGTCCAGCTGAAGGTGGACCAAGAGTAGAAAGTGTCAGGTAAATCAAATTTAACAACACAATGCTTTTAGTACTATTGAGAGTACACCAATTAATTATGGACCTTGGTATCTACTAACCTGAGTTTCGGATATGAAATTCATCTTGTCGGCAACGTCAAACTAGTGGAAGAGCTTCTGGTAACAGTTGTTCGCCACAGTAACAGGTGATCGCGAAACGCAGTCGTTGTCGCAGAAGAGCGAGAGAGCAAACGCGGAACGCTTGCGAACGGTAAGCTCTGGAAGCTTCTGCACAGCCTTGGGGCCGGCGCCAAATGCGCAGCTGGAGCTCGAAACGAGAAACGCTAACTATGTTCCAAGGTGCTCCGAAAACAGACGTTAGATGCGCTTGATGATGCCCTGGCGCCGTGCCTGAAGCGAGAAACGCGCTGAGAGACGAGAAGCGGGGAAACGTTGGTGTGGCCTTCAACGGAAAATGCGCTGACGGGGAGAAGTCCTCAACACACTTGAGTGACGGAGATTCAAGCCGCGTGTTTAGAATCAGGTAACTAGGTTCCTAGGTACATAACATAACCAAAGGAACTGCTTTGATAGATCTTGTTATGTGCTGCACCACTATTGATACAAGCAAATGTTTGAAACAAAAGCACATCTACATCTCCCGTTCACCTTGAACATTACTAGAGATATATCCAGGGTTTTCTAGACTTTGAAAATATTTTCTCCATAGATAAATATTACCCTGGATTAGGTTCATCTGAGTTGGTAAAATAATATAGCTGATTTGTTTTGAAGCATTCCGTCTTTATTTACATGATATATAAAATCTATGCACAATGAATACAAGAAGTGAGCACAGGTTGTGTGTTATGAGTTGTAATGGAGAGTGCGCGGGATAACGAATAACGAAGCTGTGACTTAATGAACTGTCGATTACAATGAAGGCACGCGACTATATAGTGAATACCCTAGCTAGGAGGGAACCTCGGGAAACGAGGTTGGGAGCAGGTTTGGCGACGGAAAGCCGAAGGCGACGCGGAAGAGCCTCGGCATCGTTGATGTCGGCCGAACGTGCAAGTCCGAAAATCGGGGTTGTACGCGTAGCAGTCAACCCCGGTAAGGATAAAGGAAAAATCCTTACACTACCCCCCCCCCCCCCCCCCCCTTGAGCAAGGTGGTCAATATCCGCAACTCGCTTGCGGGCGAAATAATCACCAAGAAGCGGGGAAGCTTCAAGCGATGCAGATGGCACCCATGTGTCGTCCTCACTGGTGCGGTCAGTCCATCGGACTAGAAAGTTCACGTGGCGTCCACTGGCGTTGAGCCGGATCCGATGTCCGAGAATCTTCAAGGGGTCGGTGGTCGGTTCTGGGACAGGTCGAGCTGTCGGGGCGGCGTTCTGGCGCGCAATGTCTGTCGTGGCAGGCACGAAGTTGCGAAGGAGGCTGACATGGAAAGCGTCGTGTATACGCCAGTCGTCGGGTAGTAGCAGCTTCGCCGTGACAGGTGTCACCATCTGGATGATGCGGAAAGGCCCACAAAATCGTGGCCGTAGTTTGTTCGAGCCGGGCAGGCGTAGGTTTTTCGTGTCGAGTAGCACTAGTTGCCCTGGCGTCATGACGATTTCTCGTTGTAGAAGATCCGAGTATTTCCGGGCAGTAATATTCGCCTTGCGAATAGCGTCGGCTGCTTCTCGCGGATCTCCTGAAGTTTTGTCACAAATGTTTGTGACCGTGGGACCGAGTTGTCGAGTGTCGTGGTGGTTGGTACCACCGGGTCCATCCCATAATTCAGGAAGAATGGGGAGTGATTAGTCGTGCTAGGTGGTGCGTTGTTGAACGCGAACTCCAGCATGGCGAGTGACATTTCCCAGCGAGTTGGGTCGGGGCAGTTTGTCCTGATCAGCTGCTCCATCGTCTGATTCGTTCGCTCGGTCTGTCCGTCGGTTTGCGGATGGTATGCCGATGAAAACTGTAGGTTTGTGCCGTACTGCGCCCACGTTTCCTTCCAAAATTTTAAAGTGGACTTTGGGTCCCTGTCGCTAACGATCGCTGACGGGATTCCGTGCAGTCGCACGACGGTTGAGATGAAGAGGCGCGCAGTTTCTTCGGCTGTGATTGTTGTACGACACGGTGCGAAGTGTGCCATCTTCGTAAAGCGATCGACGACGACGAGTACCGCGTCGTTCCCGGACGGCCCAGCTGGCAGCCCCGTGACGAAGTCCATCGTCACCTGTTGCCATGGTCGCTCGGGTGGCTCCAGTGGTTGCAGCAATCCAGCTGGCCGCTGTCGTGTCAATTTCATGGCTTGGCACACCCTGCATGAGGACACATATCGCTGCACGTCGTTAGAGGAATCAGGCCAGTAATATTGACGGTGCAACAGTTTCTGGGTTTTATCAACCCCGAAATGTCCGGAGAGGTTTGAATCGTGGACGTCTTGGATAAGGAGTTCACGCAGCAGCCGGTAAGCGGGAACCCAAATCCGGTCAGTTCCGGCCTTTAGGTAATAGTTCCCCTTTTGCGTCGTTGCCTGCTGGTGATTTCCAGTCGTGAAGTACGGGTCCGTAGTGTAGCCGTGGGTGAATAGTCCCGTAAGTAGTGGGTTCGAGTGGGTGATGAGTACTGCAGCGGATTGAACTGTTGGTCGGGTAAGGGCGTCGGCGATGTTATTCGCCCCTTTCTTGTACGTGATGTGGTAGGTGAAGTGGCTCTCCATGTAATCGAGCCAACGAACTTGTCGCACGCATGTATAATTGCGAGCATCTCCTTGTCGCGTATCGGGTAGTTGCGCTCGGCAGACTGCAGCTTGCGTGACTCCTAGGCAATCGGCTGCAGCCCGTCTCCGAAATCCTGGAGGAGTACCGCTCCGATGGCGAAATCTGAGGCGTCGGTGATGATGACTTCGAACGGCTTCGATGGATCGGCGATGCATAGAACCGGAGGGGATACCAGAAAATCCTTCAGTTCCTGAAAAGCCGCCTCTGCTTCCTCCCCCCACACAAAATTGATGTCCTTGTGCAGCAGGTCGGTTAGCGGGCCGGTTATCCCCGCCATATTCGGGATAAACCTCCTGGCATAATTCACGAACCCCAGAAAACTCTGAAGTTCCGTGATGTTAGTCGGGGACTTCCACTCCTGTATAGCCTTGATTTTCGCCGGGTCGATTTTTATTCCGTCGCGGGAGATGACGTGTTCCAAAAACTCCAACTCTTGCTTAAAAAACTCGCACTTAGAGCCTTTGGTGATGAGGCGGTTCTCCTGTAGCCGCTGAAAATTCGCGTCGATGTCGCGGAGGTGTTGTTCTCTTGTCCTGCTAAAAATCAAAATATCGTCCAAGTAGACGATAACACACTTGTCAAGAAATTCCCTGAAAACTCGGTTCATGGTCAGTTGAAAAGTTGACGGCGCATTTGTGAGGCCGAACGGCATCACTTGGAATTCGTAGCTTCCGTAGCGGGTGCGGAACGCGGTCTTGTAATAATCCTCTGCGAAGACCCGTATCTAATGGTAACCGCCACGTAAGTCGATTTTCGAGAAGTAGCGAGCGCCGCGAAGTTGGTCGAGGAGGTCGTCGGTGCGTGGGATTGGGTAGCGAAACTTGATTGTAACCCGGTTGAGCGCGCGATAATCAATACACATGCGAAGCCCACCGTCCTTTTTCGGGGTGAATAGGATCGGGGCCGCGTAGGGAGACGCGCTGGGTCTGATAAACCCCTTCTCCAACAAGCCATCAAGTTGGCTTCGCAGCTCCTCGAGTTCCGGTTGGGTCAACCGCCACTGTGTACGAACAGTCGGCTGCGCGCCAGGTTCCAGCTGTATTTTGTGGTCCTCGGGTCGTTCGGGTGGCAGTCCAGGTGGCAGGTCGTCGGGGAAGATGTCCGGGTACTGTCGTATCAGCTCTGCTACATCCGGCGGTACAGCTGCACACAGCTTCTCGATGTCTTGTCCGTCGGTGTCGGTTGCCAACTCGCATAAGCATACAGCGTACAGCTGCGCGCCCCTGTTGAAGTGGCGAGCTATAGTGATAGCTTTGACGCACGGGGCTTGGATGTAGTCAGGTGTCCATGCAGGCAGTTTAACTAGCCCCTCGTGCTTGTTGATGCAGCACGATCCCGTTGTCCAGTCGATGACGGGGTTGTGCCGTCGCAGCCAATCACGTCCCAGCAGCACGTCGCAGCCATCCAGAGTCGTCGCGAGAAACTTCATGCTGAAGCCGAAAATGTCGCCGCACTCAATCCTCACCGTCCGTGTTTCTTCCAAAATCGCCAGAGGTGTCCCATCCACGAGGCGAGCGTCAATTTCGGGCAGACACCTGTCAAGTTGCAGCTTGCATTTTTTTGCTGTCGCCAAGTTGAAGAGGCTATGGCTGGCCCTTCCGTCGACGAACATTTTCAGAGTAATTTTTAACGCTGTGCCAACGACCAGCACAGGGTGATCCACATGATTATCCCCGTTATTTGGCCGAGTGCGATCGATTGCATGAATCGGAACCACTACTCGGTGGGGATGTTGGTGTTCGTGTGACGAAGCATAGTCAGTAAGGGGCCCGTAAATTACTGACTCTTCCCATTTCCCTGCTCCCTCCTATCGTTCCCCTGGGCATTCTCTTGCAAAGTGACCCGTCTTCCCACACTTAAAACACGTCCCTGCAAAGGGGCGGTCCGGTGCGTGGACTCCGTTGATTGTGGCCCGTTGGGTCTGTCCACGAAAACGGATTCCCTCCCGGGAACCTGCCCTCGCATACTGCATCAACGCGTTTGTAGACTCAGCTAACCGTATGGCTTCCAGAAACGAAGTCGGGCGGCATCGACGCACCTCGTACTGTATCTCATATTTCAGGCCGCCGATGTATTTATTGTCAGAACATACATATAGCTTATGCTGTTGTGTAGGCT